AGTAAGTAAGAACTCAGTGAATAAAAGCTAAATATTAACCAAAAAACAACAACAAATACATAAAATATACAAATATTAGAATGCAAAATGTCGCCCCCTGTCGTTCAGGATTTAGGTTATTTATTTCATGCATTCCCACCTACTTCACTTCAGGCACACGACGATATTCCCACCTCTATTTCCCGCATATATAACGAAAGATATTCCTGACAACAAATTGCATAATGAGCTGGTTTAATCAGTCATTATCAGTCAATATGCATATAATCCCAGCCTCCCCTGTTTAATCCCCACACAGCCACTGCTTGTGTTTTAAAAACTTCCCTCATCCAGTTAGAATATCTCTCATTTTCCCTCCCTGTGAGTGATAACAATTCCTCCAATGCGTCCATACCGGTTTTCCCGACGTTGCTCGCCCCCAGCACCACAATCTTCACCGTCTTGTTGGGCACACAGTCCAGCAGGGGATACTCCGGTATGGGGACCAGCAGAAAGTTGCCAGACCCGCTGCTGCTGTTCATGGTTCCCGGTGCAGGGTCGCCAGTCAGCCGCATTTAGCTTCCCCTTCTGCCCTTCAGATCAGCTCTGCTCTGAAATAACACTGCCCTGCAAAAGCCCTCCGCCCCGAGGAAGAATCACTCCAATATTCCCATAATGTTCCTGCAGGGACAGCCACGGGCAGATTAATCACCCTGGATCTGCTGAGGTGGTTTACTCTTGCTTATAATATCTGTGGAATTTTTTTTTTTTAAAGTAGGTTGTCCTTTGTGTCAAAGCTCCAAAAAGAAAATTCCCAAAATATTTTTCCAAGTATTGCAGCTCCAGGGTCCAGGAGTTTTTCTTCCACTGAGAGTGTTTAGGAAAAGTTTTAACCCCTTCCGTGGATGTTTCAGCAGTGAGAGGTCATCATTTCACTCGCTTAAAAACACTCTTTTAATGTGAGATGCTTAAATAAGTGCAAAAAGAAGTGTTCGCAGTGAGTCCAGATGCTTCTGACTGCGGATAGAGAGAGAGAGGAGAGAGGGAAGGAGGGAGGGAGGGAGTGGGAGAGGGAGGGAGACTTTGAACCATCCCCTCTAATATTCCCGTGAGACCAGTCTAAATTGGGCTCCTCTTCCCAGCCTTTACTCAGATAAAATTAAGCCTCTCGGGCCAATAAACAAGGAAAATTAAGGCTTTATAACAATAAAGCTGCGAGACAAATCACATTAGACCATGATGAGACTGTACAAAACTTCATTTAAATATATTATTACAGTCTAGTTTCACTCCCAGTGTGCAGGGGTGGAAGAGGCAATGAGTACATTTACTCGAGTACAGTTTTGAGCTACTTGTAATGAGGGGAGATATTGTTGTTTTCCCTCCTCTACGTTTATTGATAGTTGATTTACAGATAATACAACAGTTTTATCATCAAAATACACTTAAAGTATAAGTAAAAGTATTCACTATCAGGCCCATTTCAGAATAATATTATATTAATGCATACCTAACAAACATATTATATTCACTGCCTTACAATAACAGTACAAACTACTGATAAAATGTACAATGGACCCAGATTGGGAATTTAATAACTGCAGGAAGTTTGTGTAAAACATGTGATTTTTAACAATCATACATGTTTAATAGACTTCTTTTTGGACAAATTCAGTATTTTCTGCTCATTGTTCTGTTAGTTCTTTGGTTGTTTTAACTGCAGGACGAGGCTGTTTATGGGAGAGTGAAGGCTCTGTGAATGCAGTCTTCAAAGTTTAAATCTTAACTAATAATCTAAACTTTAAATATAATAAAAAATGTATTTAGTTTTCTTCACAGAAATGTATGAAATATGGCCGAGATTTAGTCCTACTGTGTATATTTTTTAAACTTTCACCCCTTAAAAGAAGGCCGTGTGACCGTAATCTATAAAAACATTTGAGAAAGTTTCATTATTTTAGATATTCAGTCATGATTTTGAGATACTAAGTCATTATTTTGAGGAAGTTTCTCATTATTTTGAGATATTAAGTTATTATTTTGAGAAAGTTTCTTATTATTTTGAGATATTAAGTCATTATTTTGAGATATTAAGTCATTATTTTGAGAAAATTTCTCATTATTTTGAGAAAGTTTCTCATTATTTTGAGATATTAAGTTATTATTTTGAGAAAGTTTCTTATTATTTTGAGATATTAAGTCATTATTTTGAGATATTAGTCATTATTTTGAGAAAGTTTCTCATTATTTTGAGATATTAAGTCATTATTTTGAGATATTAGTCATTATTTTGAGAAAGTTTCTCATTATTTTGAGATATTAAGTCATTATTTTGAGATATTAGTCATTATTTTGAGAACGTTTCTCATTATTTTGGGAACGTTTCTCATTATTTTGAGATATTAAGTCATTATTTTGAGATATTAAGTCATTATTTTGAGAAAGTTTCTTATTATTTTGAGATATTAAGTCATTATTTTGAGATATTAGTCATTATTTTGAGATATTAGTCATTATTTTGAGAAAGTTTCTCATTACTTTGAGATATTAAGTCATTATTTTGAGATATTAGTCATTATTTTGAGAAAGTTTCTCATTATTTTGAGATATTAAGTCATTATTTTGAGATATTAGTCATTATTTTGAGAAAGTTTCTCATTACTTTGAGATATTAAGTCATTATTTTGAGATATTAGTCATTATTTTGAGAACGTTTCTCATTATTTTGAGAACGTTTCTCATTATTTTGAGATATTAAGTCATTATTTTGAGATATTAAGTCATTATTTTGAGAAAGTTTCTCATTATTTTGAGATATTAAGTCATTAATTTGAGAAAGTTTCTTATTATTTTGAGATATTAAGTCATTATTTCGAGAAAGTTTCTCATTATTTTGAGAAAGTTTCTCATTATTTTGAGAAAGTTTCTCATTATTTTGAGATATTAGTCATTATTTTGAGATATTAAGTCATTATTTTGAGATATTAAGTCATTATTTCGAGATTTATGTATTTTTGCATTATTTTGAGATATTAGTCATTATTTGAAAAGTTTTCTTATTATTTTGAGATATTAGTCATTATTTTGAGATATTAGTCATTATTTTGAGAAAGTTTCTCATTATTTTGAGAGTTTGTCATTATAATGAGTTCCACAATCGTTTTTTCCCATAATGAACTGAAGCCCATCAGGTCAAACTGCTGTAATTTATCCTCTCTTATTCCTCCTTACAACTCATCCGGGCGGTGTTTGTTTTTAATCTCGGGGCTTTCTTCTCCTCCATGATACACAGACTCAGCACATTTCACGGATCACTCGTTTATGTCATTGTATAAAAGTTGAAAATGACCCCGCACAGACGGTTCCCCCATACCCCGACCGCCGCACAAGCACCGCCCGCTCATTCCAGCCCCGTGTGAGGAATCGAGCGGACCGAAGTGCATCTGAGTTGTGCGTCGGCGACACTCCCTCACATCCTTCCCCCGGCTGGACGGCAGGACGCTGGGTAAAGTCACACAGCTGGCAGACACGTCGGAAGCAACATGTTTAACATTCAAAATAAGATACAACAACAACAACAACAAACAACAACAACAAATAAATCAATAAATCAATCAATAAATAATAAAACATACATATAACATGAAGAATCTAAAACAACTAAATGAATCTGCTGTTTCAACTGAGAGAGTGTAAATTGGTTAAAATATGAGATAAAGTGAAGAATTTGGGACATTTTGAAGAAGATTTTATGTGTTTGTGCCTCTAAATTTATAAGTGTTTGAGTGTTTAATGTAAACTAATAATATATATTTCTTTTTAGACATGTGAGGCTTTTAAAGTCCCCAATTTCCAAACCCCTCCAATATAAAAATATTATATATTACCTAACGTTGATTTTTTATTAGCTAATAATGTGATACCTGTTTTTGAATATAATGCTGCTAAGTTTGGTATTTTATGCAAAACAAAAATGTTGAATTTTTGTGTTATATTAGGCTATTTATATTATATTTAGGCTATTTTGATTATAGGTACATTTTAAATTCTTAAATGTGTTTTTTTGAAGTTAATAAATGTATTTAATGTCTTGAAAATCAACTTTAAATCATTAAGAAAACTGGACAAGAGGAATACCTTAAGAGTCTCAGGATTACTTTGGTTACATATTGATTAAACCCCATTGAAGTTAATTTAATTTAACCTAAATTTTACAGGATTTTTTCTTGTTTTGTTTATTTGTTTGTTTTTGTTTTCTCCTTTTTTTTCTGTTATGCTGCTTGAAATCATCGTTGGCGATGTTTAACAACCATTAATGATGCCTATTTACTATTCAAAGCTTTTCTACTATCAGCTTGCAAACGAGTTAGTCAAACTATTTATTTATCTGTTTGTTTGTTTCCTCTTTATTGAACAAATTACTAACTCAAACAGCTTACATACCCAACATATATGCTTATATGACATAAACAGTAGAGAAGCAAAGAAAATGAAAAAAACATTTAAACAGTTAAACAGTTGTTGGTTGACAATATGACAAATCCAAACTTAAGGAATTGGAGCAACAACAGCTTTCTCTTTCTCTTCTTATCTTTATGTATTTATTTTTTGAAAGTACTTTATTTTTCTGTGTGATTTCTGTGTGATTTGAATTTGAATAATTGTATATTTGTATATTTGTATTTGTATTTGTATATGTATATATTTTTATGGACCAACTGCACCAGGTCACATTCCTCGTAGGCATAAAAACCTACTTGGCAATAAACAAATTCTGATTCTGATTCTGAAGAACAACAAGGAATATAATAAAAAATGTTTAATAATTTATTCATAACCCAAATCTTTATGAATGACACATATATTTTAAAGTACTTGAGCGTTAAAAAAATAGTTTTTTTTATCCAGTGGAAGTTTTTTTTAAAAAATAAATCTAAATATATTTTATTTTTATTTTCTTTTACGTATTATTTTGAAATCCAAAAACCGGAAGCGGCGCACATCACTCTGCGCACCTTCACAGCAGCACCACAGGGGGGGGGGCAGACGGCTCTCCCGGAACTCTGCAGCCGCTTCGGCTCGGATCATTTCAAAACATCGGGGGTTCGGTCCAACATGGCTGCTTACGGATGGAAATACTGATGACAGTCCGAAAGATCGCCTCGATTTGTACGATGGTAAGCGGCTCGTTCCCGGCGGCTGTTTGTACGCTGCGGCTCCGTCCGATGCCCGTGCTAGTGTAGAGAGCCAGGACGCTAAGCTAACTAGCCCTGTCTGCTAACCTCTCAGGGGGCAACATGATAATAACACCCCCCCCCACCTACCTACCCCTACCACCCACCTACCCCCTGTTTTCTTTAAAGAAAGTTACCCAGCTGAGCTTTGGTAAAGCGGCTCTACGTGGTACCGCCTCGGTTCTGGTGGTTGAATCCACTAAAAAGAGCTGTTTTTAGTTTGTTTATGCGAGAAAAAGGAAGGGTTGAAGACTAGCGGAGCCTGCTAGCCCGATGCCAGACCTCTTGGGACAAAGTTATTTGCCCCCCCCCCCCTGAGAGTTATTACATTGTGTTATTACAGCTCCTTTATAGCTGTAGAAGTTTATTCACTTAAAAAAAATGCACATTAATTAACATTAAATGTGTTAAATGTGCCAGATTGAGGCCACACAGGTTAGTTATCATCTGCAGACTGGTGGCACAAATAATAGAAACACAATAGCTACACTATATATATATATTTATATATATATATTTATATATATATATATGAGTTGAGTAAAAAAAAGCCACATTAAAGGCTGACACTGCTGTCTCCACACGCTCTCTCGCTGTGGTTATGTTTTTGAGGGGTGAGTGTAATGTGAAAGCAAACATTTAATGCCTTTTTTTTAAATTATTAAATCTTAAAGAGGCTGTTGATAGTATGACACTTTATTGATCCGCGTGCTGAAACTCTGGGTGGTCAGAGGTCAGGGGTCAACCTGTTGGTGGATGAAGGTTAAAAAGGTCAGACACCCTTTTTATTGGCTCTCTTGCATTTAATATATCTCTGTCTTTCTTTATTTTGACGCGTAGCCGAGTCATAGAGGCGGACGAGGGGCGGGGAGCTTAAAGCTAGAAGATTAACTTCTGACTGTAACTCATCCTGTTTCTACCCGTCGCACCTTTCAGAGCTGACAGACGGTTACACAGATGCCACGGAGAAGTCTGCTGCAGTCTTTTTAATTTGCTGGCTGCTGCTTCTACGTGTGTGAGGAAGAAGTAAGCCGGTGCACGCACACGAGCCGCTTTTCAAGACCACACAGCAGCAGCAGCAGCAGCAGCCCCGTGTCAACCCGTTTAAGCGTGAAGGTCCGGCATCGTTGTGGCAAATTACCGCCACGCACTGGACAAACACTAACAAGGCTAAATATTAGCTGTGTCTGGCGGGGTTTGTTCAGTCTGTTTGGCAGCCTACCAGTTGCTGCCCGGAAGGTGTTTGTGTTTTTCAGAAAATCAATGTTTGTGGGTGAAACCGTGAAAGGCTGCACAAACCAGAGCTGGGCAGTCAGAGAGAGTCAGACTGGTAGAGATAGTTATTGTTTATTAGGTTTCCAGTCATGGAAAACTCCTGGAAATTGATTAAAATGATCAAAATATGCTGGAAATAATCTACTCTGTCCTGGAGAATGAGTATTTCAGCCCCTCACTCAGATCACATTCGTAAACTTGTGTATTTACTTTGAATTTCCACTGTTGGTAGGTGAAACTGTATGACCGTTCAAAAGCAGGTTAACCAGATGCAAAGTGGAACTGACTTGCAGCGATCTTCGGAGCATAAAGTCAATTTTCTTTCCAGAGCTTGCGAGTCATATTCTCATTTCTCCACGCACGCAGCCTGTTAACGATCAAACATCTTGTTGCTGCGGTTGATAAATACACGCGGAGCGACGTTAAACGCCTGTGCGGATGAATTTAATGTAAAATAAAATCACTTCTACTTGATGCGAAGCTCACTTTCATTTCAAACGTTGTCAGTTGTGTGTGTTTACAGCACGTATTGAACAAATCCATCTCTCCCCTCCTCTTTTTTTTTTTCCCCAACACACACTTATTCGCCTTCCTCTCCGACATCAGGAGGCTTTTGTTTACCACCGTGCGCTGTTTAGATAAATAACCTCTAGCCGGTCCTTCATTCGCTCGTCTCTTGTTTGACTTTACACGGACGGCGGCGTGATGATGAGCAACAAACGGCGCGTCTCCACTTATGTAGTCATTCACCCCTGAAGGAAAAGCTGCATCATCATCATCATCATCATCATCATCCCGCTCCTCTCTCTCTCTCTCTTTCTGTCTCCTGCCTCAATAGGAGACGTGATTTGTAGAAGCTCGGACCAAATGACATCCGGAAACAAGAGTCGTTTCAGTGATTTCACAGATTTTTACAATAACACTCATTTTGGTGAGGTTTTAGTCAAGATGACACATATGTATGAGTCAGCTATTTACCAGGAAGCTTGATGAATGTGGACAGCTACAGTTTTAACAGTAAATAACATTTGCAAAGGTCTTTAAACTGCTTTATACAGTGAAATTCATGTTTATGATTCACAAACCGTTGAGTTCATTTAATGTAAAACATAAAAAAGGCACAATAACTACGTTGTTTGGTGCTGGATGATCCTCGGTTTCAGTCTAGACGTTATTTAAATTTTAAAAACATTGTTGTCGTGTCTTGAAAATCCCCAAGCTCTGTTTTCGGTTGTGAAATCAAAAGCCCAAAACATGAACGTATAACAAATGTTTTTTATGTCAGTGTCGTACACAGTGTGGGAACTTTGAGTGCTCAGTTTCTGTTCGTTCACAAATTTGCTCTTTTTTCTCTCTCACAGTTTGCTGTCATCTCACCGTTGATATATGTTGGGAATAAGTTCAGTTTGAGCCTAGTTTTATTCAATCGTTTGTTTCCTCTCTACACGTTCACCAACTTTCATTTCTCATGCAGTTTTTTCTGTTGTTTACGAGCTCAAACTCGTACTGAACTTTATTTGAGCCTCAATTTTTCCCGATTCATATCTTAAAGACATCATTTTGGCACAACATCTCTTCTAGTTTGTTCTAATAGTTGTGCGATATGATAAATCTGTCATTCACGTGTGTCCTCTCGCTCCTCTCCCGCCTCACACATCTCCTCTCCTGAGTCCTAGTTTGACTCTCTGTGAATCTCCTTGTTACTGTATTCCCTGTTGTCAAACTAGCCGAAATAAAAACGTCAATCCACCGCAGTTAGGTGTTAAAATATTGTTGCTCTGGAGCTGTTTTTCCTCTCACTTGTTCTTCGGCTCAATGTGCGTCCTGCGTCGCTGAGCAGCAGCTCTGGTACTTCGGAGGCGGACCATTAAAACAGCAAAATAAAATGACAAAAACTGCCCCAAAATTGACCAAAAATACCCGCCAATAGCCGATATATATTGGTCTAATTGCCTCACCCTAACGGTGCTTGAAAGTTTTCTTTTTAAAATGCACAGCATACACAGTTATTCACTAATAAAGGCACATGTTGTTGTTGTCGCACCTTACAGTGACTTCATATCATCAAATTTGCTCTCAGATTGTTGTTGATGTTTTTAAAGTCAACTCAGTCCACAGCTGAGTCATGAGAGGGGACTTTTGAGCACTGCTTGGTAGTCTAAAACATCAGGAAGTGGTTTTTTAATAACTCATGCACTGCCCGCATGTCAGATCAGTGAGGATATCTTCTTCAAAACCCTGAAGTGAAAACGCAGTTTAAAGCACAGATAATGTGGTGATGAGACGAGCCCGTTGTAACACAAAGATGCCATTTAATTATTAAAGGCTTTGACATATATTCAAAGAAGTAATGAGACTTAACAGGGAGAAAATGGGGAAAGGTGAAATGGAGGAAACGAAGCAGGAAACACAGCTGCAGCGAACAGACGGCTGACAGTCCAGCAGAGCAGAGAGAAAATGGAGCAGGAAAACAGAAAACAATGAGGAGGGAAACTGGAGGACAAAGGAGGGCTTATGATGGATCATTTTATGATAATTAACATCAAATATGTATAGGAAATATTTATTTAGCCACCATATGAATATTTCGTGATATGTACGACACTAAAACACACGCTCAGGATTTGGGAATTTGACTGGAAAAGATACAGGCTTGTCCCCTTGTTCAAAGTAGATCAGGCAATCAATATAGGACTGTATGCTGGCGAGCTGGACAGCTTTTTCTAGTCAAGCCACGTGAGGATATTCAGGATAATCAGGATATATTCACCACAGTACATTTTTATCTCGATAACGTTGTATATCTAGTCGTTGCAGATGCAACTTTTACACAGAAGATATGTTAAATCATGTGAAAAATACCCAGAATACCCATTAAATATGTCTCCTCTTCTTCTTTTTCTCCAGGGCGCCAATGCCTCTGCCTTGGAAAAGGAGATTGGACCGGAACAGTTTCCCGTTAATGAACACTACTTTGGACTGGTCAACGTAAGTGTCAGTCGAGAACACACACATTCTGCCGCCTTACTAGCTCTACCGCTAGGTTTGAGTACAAAAACCCAAGTCGGGAACGCAGCCCTCTTTCTCTCCGTGTCTCTCATTCTCAGTCTGTCTTTCTTTTTTTCTAGTTTGGCAACACCTGCTACTGCAACTCGGTGCTGCAGGCTCTGTACTTCTGTCGACCGTTCAGGGAGAAGGTGTTGGCGTACAAGGTAAGAAACACCTCTGGTTTGTGCAGTGGTCAGGCTTCTCACGACTAAAATCACTTAAATACCTCTAAAAATAATGTATCGGCCCGAGTATAAGACTTTATTTTGGGGGTTATGTATTATTATATATTCAAGGACCAGACATTCAGGTATTCAGCAGATGTTTTTTGTTGAATGGAGCGAGGTCTAGTCTCTGCATTACAGGGTGAACTTGTTACATTAGGACTGTTGCTTTATGGGCTTTTTGTAGCCGTTATGTTGCTGCGATAGCATGTACTTTTCCCCGTCGTGTCTTTTAGAGTTAGTCAGCCCTCCAAGTGTCATTAAATATGTCCTTAAATGTAAGTATAGTAGGTTGAAGCAGGAAGAGAGTCTGATTAAACTACTATCTCCCATATAACTTTGACTAACTTGGGGGTTTGTTTTCAACCTGTCTGATCGGCTGACTGCTCGTTTTCGTTGCTGTACTTACCTTGGCAGGTCAGATCTTATCACAACCAATAGAATCAATGGTCGGAGCAACAAAAGCTGCAATAAACTGTAGTTTTACTAATTTAAACAAGTTTTTGATGGCTTGTCTAACACACAGATTGAGGGAGGTAGACCCTGAAACATATGTGTGTGTGTGAGAGAGTAGGTCACTGTTGCTAATTAATTAATAAAAATAAAAAATGTATGAAGAGAATTTTCAAGAGCTTGTCCTATATGTGAGTAAAATGACTCCAGAGGAAATACATGTCATTGAAATTCTCAAAATATTATAGTTTTTGCTCTTATTTTGAAAAACAAAATTCATTTTTCCTACATCCTATGGAGGAATTTTCCCTCGTTTTCAAACTGCAGTCATGTTGCTGGAACCACATGAGCCATTTTGACTCTTTCTGTCAAAAGAAGTTTTTTTTCCTCCATAGTTTTCCATCAGTGGTGGACTTTCATTCATGCAACCTCCTTCTTAAAAAGCTCAAAAAGACAATCAGAAGAACATACCATGTCTAGGAAAACTATTCCGACTGTGTTCGATAGCTGGACTGTGAATATGTGACTGATGAGCAGAATTAGCTGCACAAATGTGGAAGTTACAGTATGTTGAGCTTTGATTGGAAGTATTTCATGCTTCACTTTCTCTAGAGAAAGGGCTTCAGGAATGAGGGCCATCTTATCCTTGGACTTATAGTGTCTGGGTCTGTGGTATGGACTTATATTTGCCAATAACAGTTCAGGACAAAGAATCGATTTATCTGTTTAATTAGCTTAACCCTTTATATATACATATAAAATACAAATATTTGACATGTTTTTTCATCACATTTTATTAAATAAAAACAAAAATTCAAAAGATTTCTAAATGTAGAAACATGAACAATGTCTCTGTAGTATTCTGTATTTCTGTAAGTTATTTGAACAATGTACATCTTTTAGAGAGATGCTCATTTTACTTTCATTCTTTCAGCTGCTCCTCTCTTCTCGGCTCTTCTCCACCTGCACCAGTCAGCTCTAGCTCATCAGAATGAGCGCTTTAGCTATTATAGTCTTTATTTTAGATCGATTTAATGCCCGTGGGAGGTCTACCTCCTGTAACTGTTACCTCTCACCCTCTTTAATGAGTCACATATACATTTCATAGGTTTCTATATCACGTGTGTGTGTGTGTGTTATGGATTTCACTCCCATTGATTAGATAAAATGCCTTGATTGAGGCTGGACCTCTCCTCTCCTCACCTGTACTGTATTTACTGCTGTTAAAGTATCTGTGGTGCGTCACCTTCGTCTTTCTTTTAGGTGCAGCCGCGTCGCAAGGAGTCCCTCCTCACCTGTCTGGCCGACCTGTTCAACAGCATCGCCACGCAGAAGAAGAAAGTCGGAGTCATCCCTCCCAAGAAATTCATCTCACGACTGAGAAAAGAAAATGGTGGGTACCATTACGGTGTGACGCTGTATTGTAAGGAAGGAGAGCGTTATCCTCCCCTCTGGTTTAAGTGCTGAAACCTCTAAAATCAAATGTTCAGTTTGTTGATTCTCGTCGAATTTTGCCAGAACGTGCAGCTGCTGCTTCTGTCAGGAACTCGACTTCCCGTATTTTTCTCGGGGGGGGAAAAAAACATCTATCCCAACAGCAGGTGTTTGGAGATGTAAAATCTGAAACGCTCTTTCATCAGCGATTTGTTGAGACTTGACTTCCTTTCACCGCTGAGCCACACAGTCGAGTTAACCGATTGGCGAGGGAGAAAAGGGGGATAAGAGGAAAAGAAAAAAGGAGGCAGGGGAGGGTTATCTCAGCTGAGAAGTTAATCTCACAGCTGAGGAAATAAAATTGTCAGCCAAATCCTGGAGCGGAAAGCGGATGAAAAAGAAGTGACGCTCTTAATTGGCTCTTTTTCTCCTCGCCAGCACATGCTGATGTTGTTTATTTTCTGTTCTCTCTTTCTTCAACACTTCCTCTTTCCCTGCCCGTCTCTGCTTCTCTGCGGCTTTATTTACATCCTTCTCTATATCCATTCTCTATGCCTTTATGCCTCTATATATTATTATTATTATATTATTGTACGTCTGTCCCCCTCAGAGCTGTTTGACAACTACATGCAGCAGGACGCCCACGAATTCCTCAACTACCTCCTCAACACCATCGCAGACCTGCTCCAGGAGGAGAAGAGCCAGGAGCGGCAGCAGAATGGAAAACTGGTGCAGAATGGTGGAGGAGGGGGAGGAGGAGGAGGAGGAAGTGCAGGAGGTGGAGGAAGTGAGGGGGGAGGAGGAGGAGGAGGAGGAGAAGGGGAAGGAGGAAAGGAGACACAGCAGACTTGGGTTCATGAGATCTTCCAGGGAACACTGACCAACGAGACGCGCTGCCTCAACTGTGAAGCTGTAAGTGAAATCATTTTGGTGCGGTTTGAAAGGGTTAAAGTGATGATTTATTCGACTTGAACTTTTCAAAACAAAAGTGCTTCATTACATTAAGTATGAGCTACAAAAGAGGCAGATCTGTAGGCACGGAAGAACTAGAAAACACATAAATAAAAGCCCAAAATGGTTGTTTGTTGGTTGGTATTTGAAACAGTCCAAACCAAATAAACATGGAGTTCTGTAGGTAAACAGGGAGACGGGAGCAAAACAAAATGAACTACAACTAAAAACTGTGCATATTTACTGAATTCAGAATCATTACTGGTCCCCAATGGTAGACAATGCACAAAATATACAAAATTTTAATGGATTTAATGCTCAAAACAAACAAGATTTAGCCTTTTTTTTACTATAATGAAGCCTGAAATATAAATATTTCCCTCTTCCTTAAATAGTTAATTTATAGGAGTTATTTATCTGTTTGTTCCTGATAGTAAGTTGGTTCTAGACTTGGTTATCCTTGCACACTGTAGACCCCAAATGAACCAAATCCAAAGATATTGGTGTGTAGCGATGCGTCGGAGACCGGGAAGAAGAGTTTAGGTCACTCATGGATGTAAACAACGCTGTGTTTAAAATACTTTGCACATGTTTCATGAGGGAGGAAATACATTTGTTAGACCTCGAGGATACACACAGAGTTTTGCTGAGGATCACTGAATATAAACACAAGTTGTGTTTGTATACAGGAAAACTCCACAGGGCACCTTTTAATTTTCCAAATGTTTACCTGGTGGGACGTTAATCTGTTTGTGAGTATTCCATGTGACACCGTGTGTATTCCCTGGAATTGCAGGTGAGCAGTAAAGACGAGGACTTCCTGGATCTGTCGGTGGATGTGGAGCAGAACACCTCCATCACGCACTGTCTCAGGTAGCACGGCGCTCTTATTAATCATCCGTGACAAGTCTCATATGCTCACGGGATTATGGGACGATTGGAAAACAGCTTGAATTTGACATCGGGACTCCTGTTGATTTGTGTTGGTAAATGTGTGTGTTTGTCTTGTTAACAGGGGCTTCAGCAACACAGAGACGTTATGTAGTGAATACAAATACTACTGTGAGCAGTGTCGCAGCAAACAGGAAGCCCAGAAAAGGTGGGTGATCTCATCGGCTGGTTACTTTCTACTTCCTGCTGTGCAGATGTAGATTAAGATTTTCTTTCTTTCTGTCTGGTGAGGCGAAGTAAAGGAGTCAGTGTTATCTTCCATCGAAAGCTCAAACAATTCATCGATTTAGTCGAGCAACAGAAAGTAAATCAGCAGCTTTTCTGATAATTGTGGTTAAAATCATCTTCTTGCAGGAAAAGCAATTTATTGGTTCTACCTTTTAAATGTTTAAGGTGTTTTCAGGGTTCCAACAGGTCCTGGAAATACTAGAAAACATCAAAATGTAGAGACTAGTTTTTCAGTCCAGGTCGAAATGACCAAAAATCTTTACCCCCCTCACTCATTATATGAACCTGGGTGCCTATTTTGTTTGAAAGTCGACTGTTGTGATGATAAGCTGTGTGAAAACTGGTGTTAAATGTGTCAATAGTGAGCAAGTGCTGTTCTGAATTGTCAAGGAAAACTGGAAATTGATGTCTCAAAAAGAGTCAGTTGAATGAAAATGAAATAAAATGCATAAAAGGAAACACAGGTGTTTTGCTTTCATGCATTTTATTTCATTATAAACTGAATATCTTTTGGGTTTTGGCTGTTGGTCGGACAAAAAAGGAGTATTTGAAGACGTCACCTTGGACATTTTTACTACTTTCTGGCATTTTAATGACCAAACTATCGTCAGGTGACGATCATCGCCCAATCTTAATGAATAATAGGTTTAATTTTACCTAAATTTGTCACAGGGAAAGAAAGGGTTTTGTGCAAATAAGTTACTTTTCAAGTTGTTTTGAATGCTTCCTTAAATAAAGTAAATTAAATCCTTATTCAGCTAATGTAGTGATAGTCATTGTAATATTAATTTCATCATCTTCGAGCACAAATAGAATCATTCTTTTTGTAGTGGAGGTTTCAGACACGAATGCACATCTTTTTTAGCAGGAACGCACAAAGCAATGTTTTGACACAGAGCATAAGGGCTAAGCCGCTTACATTACATTGATGAACAGATTTATTCCGTTTTTTAAAGTATTTGCTCTTTGCTGTGAGGAGCTGTCACCTAAATGAGCACTTTGTCTCCACATAGCTGTGTAGCAGTGGTGAAAACCGCAGTCGCACGGCTATATGCATCGCACCCTTCGCTGTTGAGCTTTTCAAAGCGGACAAATACGGGTACAGTTTGTTCCACTAGAAAGTACCCCCAAAACCACATCTGACGTTACCATAGCAACCAGTCAGGGCCTTCCTGTTACACTCTGACAAGTTCATCATCAGTATTTAGAGTCGATGTGGGCCAAGGTGCCTATTATCAACCTCTGCACAGCAGTCTGACAACTGCCGGCCGTTGTTGATCTTTCATATTGAGTTTTACAAACCAACAGGCAGAAAAGTGTGGAGTGTGCCTGCTCACAACTGCACATGCGTGTGTTTTTATACGTAAGCGTCCACAGTTTTTCAGCGCCTGTTAAGTGCACCAAGCAACATCCATTAGCTTGAAAGGGCCATGCTGTCACCAGCGACTGCACCTCGCATTAACACTGAGCAGCATGCTGTGAGAGCGCCAGCTACAGGTTCAGCCAAATTAGAAGGCGCACAAAGCGTCTAACACGCACTTCTTGTTCCTGGTCGGGGATCTGGAACGGTAATGGTGTCGGCATGGAAAGCTTTTAACCCTCGGAGGTATTCTTTGGGGCAAATTGCCCTCGCTGCTTGTCTTTGTGTGCTTTTCCACTTACCTTTTTATGAGCCTTTTAGTTTTATCTTTGATTTCTAGATTTTCTTCTTGATTTAAAACTCTTTTACTGCTCTCGAGAGTGTTGAGTGGTTAGTTCAGTTGAGAGATAATTTCTGAATCTCTAAAAGAACCCAGGGAGCAGCATTAAAACCACTTCCGACCATTACAAACCTCTCTCGCTCGCTCTCTCGCTCTCTCTCTCTCCCCATCAGGATGAGGGTAAAGAAGCTACCGATGATTCTCGCCCTCCACCTGAAGCGCTTTAAATACATGGACCAGCTGCACCGCTACACCAAACTGTCCTATCGCGTCGTCTTCCCCCTGGAGCTCCGCCTGTTCAACACGTCCGGGGACGCCACCAACCCGGACCGCATGTACGACCTGGTGGCCGTCGTTGTACACTGTGGCAGGTAGGGTCTTTCTTTTAACGTACTAGTATTCTCCGCTGTCCAACCTGCAGCATCTGTAGTGGTTTATGTTTGTTGTGCTTAAAAAAAATCCCAACTTAACAGATTTCAGTCAGATTTTTCATATTGTTTATGTAGATTGATCATCAGCCAAAAACCTGAAAACTTCATGATGTAAGGAAACAAATACAAAACAATTTAAGCTTCATAAGATATGGATGTATTCTGCCTTCCATAAACTAATCCATTAATCAGCAAATTATTTCAGCATTAAGCACGTGGATATGACTTAATTTTAAGGTCACATATTATGCAAAATACACTTTTCAACATAAATGTGTGTCTATAGAGACTAACAAAATATGCTTGCTCCGTTTATCAGGAAACCGGTGCTCCACAAAGCCTGATTTGCCTCTCGTACCTCGTCTGTCCCCATAGGAGTAAAAAAAACAGTTAAAAATTAATTGTACTTACTAATATTGTTCATAGTTTGGGGATTTAATTCTCTCCAGAAGCTCTCTCCTAATATATTGCAAAACTAATTTCTAATATTCACACAGATCCTGTCAGAAAGGACATAATGGGCCAAATCTCTGCTTGGTTTCTGATTAGTTGTTTGACGTGGTCGCCTGTCATGCAGTCCCACCTGGCTGCTGTCAGAAGATCCATTATAAACTGCATTGAGCTTCTTTTAATACCATCGCAGTGGCATTTTACATGTTGTGGCTAAAACTGACCGTATCGTCTGCGTCTTCCGGCCATCTGTGGCTCCGTATTTATCTGAATTCTTCTTAAAGTTCATGGCAGGATTGCACAAAGCAATGCCGCCTTTCTCTCTTTTTGTTATTGGAATTGTCAGAAGACAAAAACGACTGGGGGTTCGGTGTTTACGTTCAGCGTGAGGAGCCACGCCGTTGATCCGTACAGTGTGAGCATAAAAGTGGCAGGTTGTGGCAGTGTCGAGAGGCTGATTAACACACAAGTTAACATAACGTACAAGATTAATAAAACACAGTCTGCCAAGATTAACATGAAATCTAAATGATCTAATGCTGTAAATCCAAAATGTACCCGGCTGATCCTTGGACCAGGGATGATAGCAGATACATATTTAAACAACTTTTTATTAGCTCTTAATCATTTTTATGAATTATAAATCAGAATTGTATGTTTTTTTAAAAGAATGAAAAAGATAATAAAACCTTAATAAAAATCTGCCAACATAGCTCGCAGTTGTTTTTGGTTGCTGGAGTCAGACACATTCAGACGTTCAGCTCGGGTGATTCAGGGATCTGGAACGTCTTCTGATGCGGATTAGCTGACGTCAGCTGATGTATAAGTGAGCAGATGCACGTTATTAGTAACTGGACTGTTTTCAACTAGCGGATGAGTTTGATGTGACCCTCCAGTGGTGCTTTCCTCAGGTGGATTAACATTGTGTGTGAACACAAAGGCTGCACATTTAAAACAGTGCTGTTTTTAAACATTTTCAGATTTCCACTTTGGAGATTACCCAAAACATCCCTATATGTAAGACTCAGCACTAAATGTTTGATGATGTTTTTAGAGCAATTATTTCATGCTTTTTCACTGGCATCGGTTCAGCAATAACATTCGGGTTTAAATTATTACTTGGGGAATAAAAGTGAGCCATTAACCACCATTAGCCACGAGTTCAATGCCATTCAGGTATTATTTTCATCGTGTGTTTCACTTTGTTTTCCCTCCCATCTGTCTCCACGCTACAGTGGTCCCAACCGCGGACACTATATCACCATCGTCAAGAGCCATGGCTTCTGGCTGCTGTTTGATGACGACATCGTAGAGGTGAGACAGATGTTTGTATTCTCCTTTAACTCTTTTACTGTGGGCAATCAGATTCTCTAGTGTTTGTTTAAGAAATGGGCATCTACCAGTAAACGGTCTCCAGTTTCAATGCGTAATGGTATTAAAAGATCCAGTATTCCTTTCTGTACAATCTTTCTTACAGCTTTAGGTAAACATGTAGCTTTATTTGTATTAGTTCCTCTATAGAAAGATAACCTGCTTTCATATCACTGCTCAGGTCTAAATTAACAATGTAAGAGTGGAGTTTTTAATATTTATATCCTCTGTTGCTAAGGAGCAACCGCTGGCCCCAAAATCAAGATTAAAAAGAAGTTCAGATGATTCATTTAATAATGAACAGTTGGAAAGTTAATAGAAAAAATACTGACATCTTGTGTTATTCAGGTTGTTTTTACATATTTGCACCAGCAAAAGCCTTAAAACAATGACAATAGAGACATTTACAAAACAAAAGTTTCAAATAAATTAAGACAAATCTGAAGATTAGGGGTATAAGAAAATATTGATGATCACAATCTTTTGTTTTGCGTATTGATTCTTGGTTATAAATGTAAACTGAGGACTATGATGTTGGATGTTACAGCGATTATGGTACAATACAAACGCAGATCCCACTGTTCTGGTTGCATAACTAAGTAAACTTGTTGTAATTCAGATTTTAAGCATGTGGTGGTACGTTTATACTATGATCATTTTCCTAAAGTTAAAGAAAAGAAATCGTAACCCCTGTATCATAATATGTATGTCCAGATTCTTGCCAATATACAGCCCTACTGACGATAAAAAAAATAACAAAACAAAGCAATTTAAAACAATATGAAACGATAAAATGGATTAAAGGAGAAGAATGAAGTAAAATAAGTTATATAATATAAGAGTTATATAAAAGAACAGACAGCTTGTTCCTTCCTGGTATTAAACCTCAACTCTGAAACAAATATGAAATATCTTCAACACTCAGGAACAGCAATCAAAGATTAAAATCCACATCCTCCAAAGTTTCCCTCCTCATCCTAACCAGGCAGGAATTTCAAACAGCCGTCCTTCCAGACTCTGTAGATCCTGGCGCTCCGAGTGTTGTGTCTGGACTTCCTACAACCGACCAACCTAGACACATTCACATTTGCTAAATAATGAGGAGTTAAAACAGAGTTTAGAAAGCTATTAGAGATATAGAAGGGTAGAGGAAGGTATTCTGGAAGGAAAACAAAGACAAAGAAGTGGATACCTGCTGAAGTTTCGAGCCCAAAGCCTTTGCCTGACCTCTCAACATGTTCAGCATGTACCTACTTTGGTTTTAATTGAAACATTATTCATCCAAGTTATGCAATTTTAAACCGAGTGTCAGTTTGATCGGGAAGACCTGGACAGCTCGTTGTGTTCGGAAAATTAAAACTATGACAGACTGGGCTCGTTCATTTTTTTTTTTTTTTTTTTATCGGAACTATGACAGACTGCTATAAAAGCTAACCAACAACTTTCGCTCAAATGAGATAATCATTTATGAAATCCCTGAAACTGCTGATCCCCTGCGATAGCGCTCAGCTAACAGTTTCCCTGCCCCGCTCTCAACACGCTGCCATCCACGCTGCAAACTGTTAGATCTCCGACTGCAGTCGTAACGATAGTGCCGATAACGTGATGATTTCTCAATCCGGGTAGGGGAAATTTAGCAGCATCTCCAACCCTGCAACATATTAAAACATATATGAAATCAAAAGTATAGCTTTACTAGCACGTAGTGTTAGCCAAAAGCATGATGTAGCTCTTTAGTCACTGGCAGTCAACCACATCAGAGCGCGGCCAAAGCCTCGGCATGCTGCTGTGTTTCATTCGGAGCCAAGTAACCTTTCAGTTTGTTATTTTTCTTTCTCCGTGCCAAAAGAGAACGGTATGCCACAGCAATCTAGCCATCGGCGGTTAACTGAGCGTGCAGTCATGATGGTTAAACGTTCCAGGGTTTGTGAAGTATATTCTGTATCGGAGACAAATGTGCAAACAGGCTTCTATAAGCTGAGTAATAGTGAAAATCTCCAGCCAACTTGGGAAATCACAAGATCCTGTATTTTACCGATCTTTAATTTCTCAATATTCTCTCAATAAATCCCTGTTTCTCAGAAAGAAGGCTGCTTTTAGAAAAGTCCAGTGTGTAACATTTAGGAGTGTTTATTGGTAGAAATGGAATATAATTTCCAAAGGTATGTTTTCATGAGTGTATAATATAATAATCATTGTGTTTTTGTTACTTTAGAGAGAGCTGTTTATATCTAAAGAGGGAACAGGTGGATTTTTGACGGTTGCAATCTGCAACTTTGCCACTAGGTGCCACTAAATCTTACACACTTGTCTTTAAAACCCTAGTAAATATTCATTATTAATTTATTGTAATCTTGCCTGACAAATTTGATAGTTTTGTATGTCTAGCTGGCTAAAAGTCTCTCTATGCTAACCTTGAATTGCACTAAATTAATTTAAAGTATCATCAATTAAACATTGTTTTTTGTTTACATATTATTTATAGCAAATTACACAACCAAACGTCCCTCTGGAATTATTCTAAAGTTACAGACCTTTAAAATAAAGTGTTATCCAATAATCTTTTAGTAGATCAGCAAAGCATTAGCTGAAAACCGCAATTAACAATTAAATTAATAGCTGTAATTATAATTTAGTACATGCTACAACTTATCTTCAAACTATTTTATTTATATTCCTGACATATCCCAAGAGAGATTTTAAAGTTCTCTACAAAATACTAATTTAAAAAGACTAAACCAGAGATTTAACAAGTTTTAGCTCTTCACAACAAATCGTGTATATTTTACATTTGTTATGCGTACCATACTGTTTTTAGATTATTTAAAATGTATTCTTTGATTGATCCTTTACAGTGAGTCTGCATTAAGTTGTATACTGTTATTATTGCAGAGTAATGCAATTTAAGTGCTTATTGATTAGAAAACTCTGCATTACATCACAATGATGATGTTGTAACATAGACAGAAATCAATGCAGACTCTGCGTTTACTGTGATCGATTCCACAACTCAAGGATGCTTTAATTGTCTTAATTGTAATTAACGGAAACCAATGGCTCTCTGGAACAGTAGAAAAACTCATTCAAATGTCTAAAATGCATCAGCATATGTTACTTGTTTAGTAAAGTGGAAGTGAGTTGTAGTGAATGGGTTAAAACGTGCAAAACCACTGGTATGGTCCTTTTCTAAAGCATTTATGGGCTCAGCCTTGACATTCTTCATATTAAACTACCTAATATTTTGTCCATTGGTCCTCATTTCTGATCCAACCTTTTTGTTTGTGCCCAATTAAAACGGTTAATTTCACTTTAAATCTCCCCGGCAGGGGGACAAATCACCCTTGCTTTTGGAATAGAGAAGAAAGTGCTCAGTCACAGTCATGACGGACTGATGTTTAAAACTGATCCCATCACCAGTGTATTTTTCCACTATGATGGGAAAGAGGCCCACTCGAACATCTGGTCCAGTGGAGAGAAACTGGCTGACTACTGTTAGATTCCGCTGAGGTTGCAGAGCTGAAACACTAACGTATCATTTTTTTATGGTTTGTGGAGATTCTCTGCTTTGTATTCTAGCTTTCAGTTCTCTTTTCTTCATGTGCATTTTCACTGCTCGTAAGTTATCTTTCCTCCTTTTTGAGGACTGAAGCTGAGTTTGCTAAAGCTGCAGCCAGTTCTTTCACCACCAATCCAAAATTATATTTTATATACAATTTGTATCCAGCCTCATTCTCTCCTTCTTTGGACAAAGCTGCAAATAAGAAACAGTTGTCAGGACCGAGTCTCGAGATATACACCACTTACTTCATCAACATTTTAACTGGAGATTTGGTAGCGAATGAAAGCAAAGGCCCTCGTGAAACAGTTACACAACCAAGTTCAAGAGCACGAACTGAAGGGAAGGATTTTATGTTCCGCTAACTCAGACCTCCTCAAAGACCTGTGGTGTCCTCAAGTCATCTTTACATACAGGGTTTACCACGGTTGTGGGAAAGAAAACCCCATCCTGGAATCTTAAATGTGTTTTTTGTTTTCGTGCTAGGGGAAGTTGTGGTATGTTACAGAGATATGGTTTAAGAATAACATATTTTTCTGATGGGTTAAGATAAGTAAACCCTGGCTGCTCGTAGATCTGTGCACAAAAAATAAAAAAGATCAGCTTGATGATAAAAATAACGGCTATATTTTGTCCATGAATGTTGTCTTTCAGACTAGTCTATGTTGACTTTCATTTCACACCTATCACAATAAATCATCAAAAAACAAAGAAATAGTTGGAAAATATGCAGTTTTTCCCCCATGAGTTGGATTAAAATATTGATATAAGCTGGTGTCAGGATGTGGTTAATGTAGCAAAAAGACTGGATGCCAGCGAAGTTAAGAGAAGACAATCAGCTTTAAAGCTAATTAGCCCATTTTATCTTGTGTATTTAATCTGTACACAAACAGAAATGTAACTGTGTCTTGGTGAACAGCCGATGGACATCTTGTCACCACATTGATGATGCCGTTACTTCCGGTCTTTATGCTAAGCTAATCGGCTGCTGGTTTCAGCTCCGTAGTTGACACACATAAGCAAAGAAAGCAAGTATGCGTTTTTCCCAAAATGTTGAGCTATTCAGAAGAACAGCCGCCTTTTAAATAATCAATTCTTGCAGAACTGTATGACTGAATGTGTCTAAAGTCCAACCATTTTTCTGTTTTTCTTGTAGAAAATTGACGCACAAGCGATCGAGGAGTTCTACGGTCTGACATCGGACATTTCCAAGAACTCTGAGTCAGGATACATCCTGTTCTACCAGTCGAGAGACTGAACCAGCCAGCGGTAAATCCCCAACAGACTGTCACTCAACAGAGGGGGAGGCGCTTAAGGCTGCCACCGGCTCCGCCCAGTACGCTCACATAAGTATCCAGGCTTTATTCCCTGCAGGCGGAGCTTTGCACTGGAGCGCCACTCGGATCGATTGAGACGTGTTCAGGTCGCATGCCAGCCTCCTGGATTACGACCGTTCAAATCCTCTGAGCCCACACTGCAAAAAAAAAAAAAAAAAAAAAAGCAAAAAAAAAAAAAGCACCTTAACAAAACAAGATGGCTGAATCTGTAACACTCGCTTTGCACTGGGGCATCAGCTGGGAAGACCGAGTAACGCCAATCCAAGAGGCTGACATCGCCGTGTGCACAGCGGTCCATTTTGGAGGTAAAAGCAGTTTGGGATTGTTGAGACGATGCAAAGTAACCAATCAACTGTTTCGGATGAGGCAACTTCTGATTGTAATCCTCCTCGTCGTGTTAACCATCAGTGTCATCACAGTCTTCTTCAGCGTTTTTTTTTTTTTTTTTCGTGATTGTGTGACAGGTACCATGCGTTCACCCCCAAAACGAAATCATTCGGGAGACGGTGAAACTAATATCCGACAGCCTTGTTAGACGTCCCACCTGTCACGATAAAACCACTGACACAACCTTTAGTGATCGAATAGCTTGAATGTCCACTTGGAGCGCGGTGATGCCGTTGCTAGTTTGCAGTGTTTGTAACATGAAGTGGTGCTAATAACATACAGTGTTAAAGGCAGAGTGTGAAATGAAAACCAGCCACCAGTGAGATGTTGATGAATCTGATGGAGGGGCTCATTATTTTAGTTTTTTACTGAAGAAAATCTTTATCTTAAATATTTAAAAAATATAAAATAAATTGAGGAGATCTAGGTAAAAGTTTGATTTTACCATTTGAAGTTTCTCTGTTAAAGCATGCCAATCAATTTCATTGTTTTCCATTAATTGCAGCGACCCTTAAAGCAGGAAATTACAACGTTTGGGATGAATAGGAACATAATGTCTGGTTGAAAATCAGTTTGTCCCAATGTGCTCCTTTTTAAAAATAAAAAAATCTGCATGTTTTTCAGCAAAAAAAAAAAAAAAAGGTAAAAACCAAAAACAATGAGCCGTACAGATCACCAACAACCTTGGTCCAGTTTTAAAACGAGTGAGTGAAAAGTGGCTGGTTTTATAGTAACTGGTGTGTCGTGCCATTACGGGTTATGTTTGGTGCCACAGCGGAAAAACTCAAAGAGGGAAGACACTGAACGAAGAGCAGTCAGGTGTTTCAGTGTTTTTTTTAAAGCCGGCTTTTTTGTGGTTTTGACAGAAAGCAAAGTCTCTCTCGCAGTTTGCTTTGAAAAGTTTGTGTTTTAACATTTGAGTTTTTTTTTAAATGCCAGAATATGCACATTTGTACCATTTTTAAAAGGGACACATACAGAGAAAAGTACTTTTTCTTTTCTTTAAGTCAGTTCTGAAATCCAAACTGTCACACTACGTACAGGTTGAATGTTTGTGTTTAGCATGTCTTGTCCTTTATTATTAAAAGCTTTATTTCTGGACAGCAAACTCTGCTGAAGCTGGTTCAGCACACCTCATAATATCAACCACCAATCACACGCTGGCAAATCTCGACTCTGGCTTAAGTGTTTCTCCTGCAGCTGCAGCGTTGGCAGGGAGTCAGACCTTTTACATAACATGTTTTTCACTCCAGAACCTTAAATTGGAGCCGTCAGTAACGCTGAGTGATGCTAACGGTCTGCTAAAGTGGCACGCGTCCACTGTCGGTTGACGACATGGTATATTTAATGCAGTAAGACTGTCTGGCGTGTTTGTCTGAGCAGTTTAAGATGGATTCCTTCTTTGTATTTAAAAAAAAATAACTTAGCACAATAGGAAAGAGTTCAGGATGTTCATTTAATGTTGACTCTTCCTGTTTTAGGAATTTAAGATTGTTTTAAATCAGTATTTAAAAAATTAACATTTGCAGCTTCTCCAATGTGGGGCTGATTTTTCTCTTATTGTGAATTCAAACCTTTTGATTTTTTTTTTTTTAAATTTGAACAATAAATCAGTGAATATTGAAAATAATCAGTGGCAGCTGTATTGTAAATCCATTCAGTCAGCTGGTGAAAACTGGAAAAACTGGGAGGTAATGCAGAAACCTTTGTAGTAACTATGAAGTAATATGATGACAAATCCTCCGGTATTGGGTTTTATGTGCTTCTGAATCTCTCCAACTATCATCTAGTCTATAAAATGTCCAAAAACAGTAGAAAATGCACATCTTAACAAACCGTAGGAGATGTTTTCAAATTGATTTATCCTACAAAAATTGTCCCCAACCAGAAAATATTTAGTTTACAGTGATAGAAAAAAAGAGACAACAAAATCATATCCTCACATTTGAGAAGCTAGAGACAGAAAATGTTTATGTTGGATAAGTAACTTTATCAGATGAACAAAATAGTTGCAGAATAATTTTTCAAGGGATCGACTCATCACTTAATGGACTTTCGGCTCTATATGATTGCAAGGAAGAGTCGGATTTTTCTTCTGCTTCCTCCATTATGAACCACCGTCAGAGCCACTCATTTTATGAGTGGGTATATCTTTTCACCCCTGAGGTAAAAGAGTGTAATTAATGCTTTCAAATGGGTTTTAATTGTGCTGAGGCAAAGAGAAACAGGAGCCATTTTAAAGCCTGTACTCATTCTCTCTAACTCGAGCCTGCTGATGGGCAGCAACCTGCTTTTTTCACCTCTGTTGTTTTTTGTTTAACGCACAAAACAAACCAAATGTAGGATTTTTGGTTTAATCGTATTTTTTAAAGTATGTTTTACACTGCCAAGTTTGTGAGGCTCCACCCGACTGGGCTGTCCCAGATTTAACAAGCAAGCTCACCCAGTCACTCTTTGTAACAGCTGTAGCAGATGGAAAATTAATGGAAACATGCTCTCCGTAGCCTTTAAGGTGTTTATATTCTACAGTAGTTGAGTGGCCTGGGCAGTGGGTCAAGTATTATCTGAATGTTAAAATGTACAGTAAAATAAAAATAGGGCTGCTGCTTGACCTGTAAAACACCACTTAGACACGTCTTAATAATCTGAAGTTGCTCTCTCTCCTGCCGAGACAAGAAAAAGCACTTTTAACAACATACTTTATTCTGAAATTCTTCCTTTGAAGTCCTTTAGTTTGAACAAAAGTAATGGATGTCAGGTTGTATATCCTGGGGTTTGCTGACAGTGTTTTCACGTTACAAAGTGATGTTGAGATAGTATTTGATTGGCCACTGATTGCCCTCCGACGTTGCTTTGTGGTCTAGCAAAAGTTGAGCCAGCTTCTCTTAGGGGCTATGTAATGTTAAAACACTCCCAGCAAACCCAGCCATATCCAAGTTGATATGTCCTATTTTTTTTTTTTTTTTTTTTTTAGCAGAAGTGTGTGTTCAAGTTCTCAAATGTCTCGCTTGGCTTAAAGTAACCGTAAATGACAGAAGGAAAGGGAGCAACTTCAGATGACGTGTCTCAAACGCTTCCCTTCATTCACTGGGTTGAGGCTTCAAAGTCAACACTATTTCCTGTCTCTGCTGCTCTTAAACTCAACTAATCTACATGAACGGAAGATGTTTTGCGTGGTGTTGAATTTGTTTTGGGGGTCACTCCACTTCGTTTCCACCAGTACTTCCATTTCTGAAAGTCAGAAAAGGTAGTTTATGGTTGACAATGACTTGAAACGCAAGTTATATCCAGGCACCAACAGAAACTGTGGACTCTTGTTAGAGTTGCTTTCATGATGTTTTCAGATTTTAGGAAAAATTTACTCACAGTATAAATTAACAAAAACAAGCACAACAGAGCATTATTTGGAGGATACAAGTCCACAGATTAAGTTTGGAGCTGGTTATGATTCTGTTTTTTAATAAAATGCAGTTTCATGGAAATTATTGGTCCTAAAAACTGCAAATGTCTCTCCTCAACAAGACTGGTTGAAATTATTGGCAAAACAAAGTGTTTAAAACCCGTGTTGAAACAAGGCTCTTTTTTTATTTAAATACTATTAATATTGTTATGAATGTTTATGTTATCTTCTTTTCTTAGATGTTTCACTTGTTTTTGATATATTTCACTAATTTTACTAGTCTACCATTCTTGAGTAGGCAGCTTTGGATATTTGAAGATTATTTTGGTTTCATTTGGGAGTGTGTGACAAGAGATGTTGATGTGTACATAAATACAGATGTTATTATTGGAATATAAATATTTGCTTGCTTGAAATAATCAGCAGACCTAGATCAAAAATGTTAGTGGACATTATATCTTTAAATACTTTTATTCTGGCAATGAATCGATACGCCTTGTGCTTAAAGTATCAAGCCCCACCTATCTGGCATCCCAGGCAGCCTAAACCAAACAGCCCAAAGCTAATTAGCTCATATGTAATCTGACTGATCACACTATAATAAACAGAAAACTACCTGATATCATTAAGATATACTTGCTTTGAAGTTCTCCATACAAGAAACTGCTGTGCAGAGAGTAACTGACCAAAAACTGTTCTTTGTATCACAGTGTTAAAGGAAAAATCCACATAATAATTCTGTTTGATTTAGTTTTTCCTGTGAATAATTAGTCAAATGTAGATGACATGGCAACAGATATTTACATTGACATTTTGTTTTTAATCTCTCTTATGTTGAAGAGCACTAGAAGACAACTGTACTGGCTTCCCAAAAAGCTTAACTTAAATTTCAGTATCAAACTTAAAATATGTCTTTTGTGCAGTTTGAAAATTGTTAACTTGTAAGGTTGCATTGTAATTTTTGTAATAGTCCGACCAATAAGCTGCCTAGGCTGATAATAACTGCTGATATTATCTGATTTCAGATGTATTAGTGTTGCGTATATGTTCAAGTAATACAAAATGAAATTAAAGTACAGAAATGCCAAAGATACATATGAGATATTGGACATATTTTGTCCAACAGACAGCACTGACAAGTTTAATTTTCAATTGTAAATTAAATAAAATACATAGAGAATGTCAGCAAATACATTGTTGTTGGATATCTTAAAATTCTCTATTTTGATATTGGTATCAGTCTTAAACATCTAACGTCTAATATCGGTTATGCCAGAACACTTATTTCTACAAATAATTGATCAAATAAGCTGCATATTCATGAAATGTCACGGGTATCTATGTATAAGAATTAAATTAACCTAAATAACTTACAGTACAAGTGAAATTATGATGCAAATTATATCTGATCAAAGAATAAGAAAACAACTTAACGACGATTAAGTTTCAGTACTAAAAATTACTTAAATACTTAAACTGGTCTTCAACATTGTGATTATTCACCTAATCAAAGTCCTGATGACATTGCTTTCTGTTAATTTCTTTAATCTAAAATATGACGTCATCTGCAAAGAGTCAGAGTTTATTTCTAGATTTTAAATCAACTTCAACCAATCAAACAACACAGAAATCAATTTGCGACTATTGAAGAGGCAAGAAGACCAGTTTCTACACCAGAATGTGCCGAAAATAGGCCAGAAAGTCATCTTCTGATTTTTATTTTTTTACCCAACTAGTCTGACGCGTAAATATTCAATATATCAAGATTTTTATTAAGCTCCTGTTTGTTCGTTATTGATCAAAAGCAGCAATGCCTCTTTTCAGAAGGCTTTAGAAAGCTATGAGGAAGTAAATTGAGTTGGGTTGAGGTTGGAAAGCAGAAGCACCAACCCTTTGTCACAAAAAAACTATTTAAATAACAAAAACTGACATCTGCGGGTGGATTTTTCCTTTAACAGTATTAGTTGTTCTGTCCGGTCGTCCACATCACTCCCCGTTTTCAGACTCAACAAGAATGTAAATGTTTTGAACCCAGTATGTGATGGGCGAACAGTGACTGAATGTGTCATTAACACTCCAAGGTTGTACGTTACGACTATAGTGTGCAGCAGTGGCAGAAGCCTCCACAGACACTAACTAAAATCAGGACACATCCACACCTTCAGAAAATATTCAAACTCCTTGATCTGTTATTATTTTTTAAATTTGTGACATTGAATTTAAACTTTAAGAAAGTATGGTATGTTTTTTTTAGCCTCATTTTACATAAAATATTCCATTATGGAGAGTCAGCTACAGACTGAGGGTAAAAAATCAAGGTGGTTGAGCCTTTTCTGGAAGGTCTGCTCTTCTTTTGGCACCAGCCTCAGACAGACTGAAGTGTTTTTACTTGTTTTTTGTGGCAGACATTTAATTGGCCATGAAACTGCACCGTCTCTCTGTGGCTTCTCAGCTCTTGCTGCGAACAGATCTGAAGTACAAAGAATTGAATCCTTCTCCTCTGAGTTGTTTTGTGGGTGTTTTGTGGGGGCTGCTGCTGCTGCACATACTGCTGTCTGAAGTTCATACTGAATACATTTAGATGCAGTGAAGTTTGGGAGTGACGGCTGGTTCTGATGGTGTCCAAACTGTTTGAAATAAAAGACAAACTGGTTTTGAAGATGGAATAATCTACATTGTCTCTTGTGTTTTATGTGGTTAAGACCTTATTTTTAAAGACTTTATTTAAACCTACTGCAAGATGTTTTTAACTGGTTATGAAACACTCTCAATACTGATGCCTTTAAATGACCTACATAAGCACACAAGACCGCCAGCGAGGAGATTGGCTATTTCTATGTAGTTATTCTTAAAGTCTGCCACCAGGTCGGATTCCCCTTGAAATCAATTAAACCACGCAGTGGAAACCATACTGGTTTTGTACATAGGGGCCGCCAGAATCAACCAAAAAAATTAAACTTCCTTGTTGCTGCTTTAGGTGAATGGCAGAACTTAAAGTAATCACAGTTGAACTTGGAATAAATCACTAAAGTGCTGCTGGATTTTGTCCTAAAATGCCTCCAACAGCATCATCTGAAGCAGAGGAGCTGCAGTTATTTCATCAGCCAATTAGAGTCCAATACTTTGACTGTTCATTATGCTATATTTGATATTATACTATATTTTAATCCACACTGCACTATGAGTTTTATTTGTGTACTAGAGAGAAAATGACGATCAAACGCACAATTCATTATCAAAGAAGCAATAAAGAGAGTGATGTGGTTTGTCAGTTAAACCAAATGTGATATTCAGTACAGTTAGTAAACTAATAATAGTCTAAATGTATAGCATTTATTATTCTTGTAAAAGTTAATCATAATGTGTTGCTTGCTGGGTTGATATTGTGTTTCCTCCACTTCGGAAACTAAATCTAATCCCAGTGTAATGTGAAAAAGAAATGAAAAAAGTGAAAATTGCCACAAGCTGAATTGAAAACAAAACATTTTTTACCTGCCACTTGTTGCAGTTTGACCGTTGTCTCATGACTTTCATCATTTCTGCCAAAGAAGTGCAAAGTTATTAGTGCATTCAGTAAATTATATAATTGGGATTCGCTGTAACAAATTATAGATACATTTGAGTCTGGTCATAAGACAATAAGAGCCCTGGATCCTGGATAAACAACCAATCAGAGTCAAGAAAGATAGTTGATTGTTTTGTCTCATTTCCTTTGGGAAGGAGTCACAGGAACCAGATTTTTTAACAGATTATCTGTCTCATGTACTACTGTCAGGATATAGTGAATATTTCAGAAAGTTACCTACTGCAGCTTTAAAGTGAAACAATGTAATAAAACAAAAATCACAGCTCATAACTAACATCCACTCGATGGCCTTAAGGGCTTCTTTAAAAGGGTCACGAGTTAAAAGAAATGTCAGGAAGACACAGTATTAACTTACCAATGATTCTGGACTGATGCCGTTTCCAAGTTTCCTGCTGAAAGGTTTGTTATTATTTAAAGAGACTAAAAACTAAATTTCCTAGACAGACTAAAGAGGATTCAGACACTAGTAAGTCAAACAAAGAGACGCTACAGTTGTTTTTTATTTTTTTATCGTCTGATGTTTTCTGTCTGTATCAAACAAGGAAGACAAATGGCTGCTGTAAAAGTCTAAATAGTGAGATCATCTTCCCCTGGAGAGGTTTTTGGTCTTCTGCCTCACCTTATTATTCTTTTTTTTTTTTAAAAGTACGCTGACTCACTTCTCCCCCAGTACAGTCAACAATAAGCAACAATGACACACAGAAGGCAGTTTGACATTTAATTCTCTGCAGGTAGGTGGTACACTCTCTGGTTTAGGTCTCAACACACCTTTACAATGATATATAAAAAAAAAAAAAAATGCTGACAAAATGACAAAATATATCTTGTTTTCCCTACAAGGAATCCAAAAAGAGAAGATGATACGTTCACCGGCTGAGGTGAAGGACGGACTCTGTACAACGGGTGTTTGTGGTGAAGAAAAACAATGTTAGGATGTGGGAGAATCTCTGTACAACAATGGAAACACAGATCTCTACTCTAAACAGAGGCCATATGTACAGTTTCTAGTCGCTTGGCACTATTCCCAAACCTAATACATGTATCTTTAACATATGCGTTTGTAGATGGGAGGGAAAGCTACTAGAGGGTTAAAGGTTGAGCTGATGTGGTAAATGTCGCCCTCCTGTGGTTAAAGGAAGGTAAGAAACCTTTAATGTAATAATATATTATGAAAGTCTGGATATATCACATGGCCACTGCAGAAGAAATGGAAGCCAGGTATTAACTCCTCTCAAGTCTAGTTAGTCCTAAATGACAGGGGGATACAGATGAATATTTTATCTCACACTGTAAAATCAGGCAACATGAAACTCGACAAGATCCCCTCGTACTCTTGTCGGAGTTGAGCACCTGAACGCACCGTTAGTTTTTGACTAATTGTGGGAGGAGCAGCAGGTCCAGCCTGACAGTCTGATGGTCTAAAGAAACTTAATGGGCTGTGTCCTTCAGAGGATCCGGCCCCCTGAACTGGATCAGTGCTATTGTTTCCTACTGGTGGTGCCAAAAATGCAACCAAGTTAATACTAAAATCACACAGATGTACTTCACTGGGCACCGCATTTGTTTGGTGATCTGCAGGTCAAAAGACGTCTAGATTGAATCCAGTTCAAACCGAATCAGAATGCTTGAGATCAAAAGATTACAAACTTAACAGTTTATTGTGAGAGCCAACTCTGCTATACTTAAAGTCACTCAGTATTCAAGCTCTTCTAAATGCAATGTGATAAGACCTCCATACGACTTTAAAAAGGATTGGGAGAAAAACTGTGGCAAAAATGGTGTGTTTATTTAGCCAATGAGACAGATCTCTCATAATTACTGAATGTTATTATGTGTGATATTTTATTTTTACTTGAGGTAATTCTGCCTCAACTACAAGTTTCTAGTTTTCTGCTCCTTACTTGCTTTTTGTTCACTTTATAATGTGAATTTTTTTAGAAATAAAAGTAAATTTGTATAATTTGCAAAAAAATGTGCAAATACACAAATACAGTATTCTTTCCATACGTTGGTGAATATTAAATAAAACTTAAACTACACAACTAAAATGAGAATGTTCTGTAAAGACACTATGAGAAATAAGCTTTTAAATGTAGTTTGAACAATTTTTATATGTAAGCTACATAAAAAAAAATTTAAACCAAATTTAGCCCAGATTGAACCTAGATATCTCGACATCTTTTGAACTGCAAATCACCTAATCAATACTCACCGAGTTGCACACAAAGACATTGGCTCTGATCTCTTTCAGGTGTTTGAATTCTAACAATTATTTCCAGCTGAACTTTAGTTGAATTGTAGATAAGAAGTAGCTTATAGAAAAACAACAAAAACCAAAGGGAGTTTGGTAATCAGTATAGATAAAGAGTTAGTGGAGTCCATGCAGCTAGAGTCAGTTCTAGGTAGTAAAGATGAGGGTTGTGTGTGTAAAATACATTATGTACATCGATATTATTACTGCATCCACTTCCAGATAATCTCATAGACAGATTCATTTAGTCTTTTTCTTCTTTCTCTGATGTCTCTGTCCGAGCAAGTTTTCCAACACCAATCCAAAATGTCTTTTAAAAAAAAAAAAAAACTTTTGTTCTCCATTTGTTGGTTTTCTTCATGTTTTTTTGTGTCCCAAATACACATTCACACACATGCTGCGTTCCAGAGTTGCCGGAAAAGTGGGAAAATCCAACTACTGATGGGAGAGCAGCAGGACGCCTCCTTAAAGTTGGAAGTTTGAGTAGGAAATTTAGGATTCGTCTTGTGTTTATAATCCTTAAAATACACTTTCAATGTAACAGGAACCAACTCTTCTGTGTATTTCTGACCTCCGACAGCCATCATACACACAAACACACACACATGCACTCATTCCCTTAATATTCCTCCTCTTCTCGCCGCTCATCATACCATCGTCTCCGAGCTCGACCCTTTCCCGGTGAAGAAGTCCCAGAAATTAGCGGCGGGTGACGGTTTGCTCTCCTCCTGTGGCGTCTGTCTCACCCAGATGCTGCTCTCCGTGGACCCGGTCAGACTGGTGCAGCTGCCGCTCCCGCCACCGCCCAGGGTGAAGTTCAGCGCAGAGCCCAGCGGGCCCCTGCGGTCCTGGGTGTCGGGGTCCTGACCGTGGAGTCTGGTAGTGGAGCTGGAGGGGGAGGACGAGGAGGGCTGGGACAGGCTGAGCAGGTTGTGGTGGGAGTGGAACTGACGCATGTGGCGGATGGATTTACCAGGAGGGACGTCACCTGGAGGGTTGAAAACAGGAAAATGGTTCAAAACTGCACTTTTATGGTTTAAGTACCCTTGAGAAAGCCTTTTCATCCCTTTTCCTTCAGGAGAAACATAAAATGATCTTCTTTTGTCCTTTTTATCTGGCAGATTAAATGAAAAAATAAATTATAAATCATTCAAGTGTTAAAACAGTGGAAAACGATGGAAAATTGTTTTTACTTTCTGATATATATATTTTTAAAGTAGGCCTATAAAATCCACAAATTCTCATTTGTGACTTTAATTAAAAACTAGAAAAACAAGTAAAAAACAGACCATTGTTGGTCAAATGAAGGTCAAAAATACAAAAACATGTCCATATAGGAACATTAACGGTACTTAATGTTATTACTGTATTAATGTTCACTGTTACAACATCTCCAACTTTCTATCTGTCACAACTAGGTGGTGCTGTGGTCACATTTATCATCCCAACGCATGTTACAGCGTGTGGGAGTCAATGTTTCAGTCAACAAAAAAATATTAATTTGATTTTAAAGATGCTTTTAATGTACCGTGGTAACACTAAACGTCGCTGTATGTGAAGTGATGTACAGACCTTGAAGAAGATGGTTTGTATCCTCTACGGTTTGGATTTTTTTGATTTTTCATCTATTTTTCAAAAATACTCTCTCTGTTTCTCTGAAGGACATTTCTACCGGCTGTTTCTGTGCAAAACTGAAACTTCAAATAGTGTCAAGTCTCCCTTTCATCTTGTGTTCACATATGTGATATGCAACGATATTGATGTTGGGAAGGCGTGCAATGATGCAAAAAATGCTTTAAAACTAAAGTAATGAGCCTGTTTTGAACATGTAAGGAGTAAAGTACTGTTTTTTTGTGTAACGATGTAGTCAAGTAAAGTACCTGAAAAAAACAACTTTAGTGCAGTAATGAAGTATTTTTACTAAGTTACAATTCACCTCTGGCTTTTTATTTCCCAACATAAAGTATAAAAGTTCTCTCCATGCTGCCAGAATTATATTGTAGGGGAAAAAATATCCTGGTGGGAAAATACCGTCTAAAAAGAAAGCGGAATCGACCTTAAAAAGGTTTTGTTTTGTCTTTTAACATCTAAAGATTGCTTAGATCTCTAAATGGAGTCCAAAATTAGGACGATTGACAGCTCAATGTCACATGAAGGATGTCGCTCATTGTCCCCAGACTCTGTTAGTCCTTGACGCAGCGTTTATGAGAACGGATACTCAACTTTTCACTTCCCTCCTCGTCATTTTGGAGAAAGATGGCTGATTGTTCAGTCTCATTCCCAGCTCACAAAATACCGCACTCGACCTGAGAGCACGCCTACTCACTCACTTACCATCAGCCAAAGTGTCGGTATTTGACAACCTGGGAAAGAGACTCAACTATGAATCTTTCTCCAGAATGACTCACCCCACCTTTAAGCTCCATTAGCTCTGGAAGAACTAAACTAAATTAAATTGTTGTTAAAACATACAATACATACTCATATCAGCCTTTAAAAATGTGTAACTTTAAATTATTAAATGTCAATTTAATAACATGACCTCTGCAGCCTCGAAACGGCCAGAATAAAAACGTCCTAGAATGAGTACCGTATCTCGTTTCCTGACGCTTCCTGTTCTGGTTCAGTTTGAGCACGTTGAGGAAGACCTCGCTGGTCAGGCTGCCCTCGCCACCGCTACCATCAGGAGGGAAAAGCGGCGATGGGGGCTCCAGTGGGGACAGACTCCCGCTGGAGGCTCCCACAGAGTCCAGAGACGCCCCTGTATCCCGACGACCCCCCGACTCGCTGCTGCTCTCCACCGTTAGGTGACTGCCGCTGTGAGGGAAACACACACACACAGATGTAACATCAGTAGTTTGTTTAAACCCAGAAAGTAAAGAAGACTTGGGACTTGGTTGTCGTGGTTACCCGAGTTTCCTACGCAGCAGATAGTCGATGATGTCCGGGTCAGTCTGGATCAGACTCATCAGGACCTCCTGCTGCAGCTCTGCAGAAACCTGGAGGATCGGATGTATGAATGCAGACGTATATTAGAGGACCACTGAGGTCATGTCCTTGTATTTTTCTTAAAATTTGAACCCAAATTTAGTTAAATGGACTTAAAGGTTGTGGTTTTACAAAAGCCTTTTCTGTATGAAATAAAAAAATAAAAGCTAACAAAAACAAAACCTTATCTTAAATCCAGAAAGGTGCACCCAGGTCATGAAATCTGCATTTTTAAGTTAAAAAGTTAAAAAAGTTTTTTTTTGTTCAATTGATTAACTTTTTATATTTTAATAAATGTTAATGAATGTAATGTAATCAAATGCAGAAAAGTGTCAAATATTTTTATGAACAAATATTATTACAGACATAATGGTATCGTGTATGACAGATAATATGAAAACAGTTTTGGACGTGTTTTTGTTTTTATCTTAAGTAATCAGAGAAACAAGCTGAGCTAACGTTAGCAGAATCTCGACTCGCAGCCCCTCCAGGACGTCATTTGGGAGAATAATGTTTTTGTAAATTGTTTCTGGAAAGAAGACTGCTGTTGAGTATGACCCTTAAATCATATTAACACCTCTGATCCTAGAAGCTCTTCCTGCTTTATTCATAGACAGTTTGATTATCTCGGTCTCTGTCGTACCGTGAAGAGCCTCCTGTAGTTCTGTATGAGCACCAAGGTCACGCTGATGATCGCCGTGCTGTCCTCAATCCCCATGGCGTAGATCTGAGGACTCGCATCTCCTCGTTCCCTCTGCAGCAGGTTGGGCCCAAAGATCACCGCCAGGTTCGCAGCCGTCATCTTGTTCCCGGAGATCTGGATTATACAGAGGACGAAGAGGAGGGAGGTTTGTGTATCGACCTTTTCAAGGTAGATTGATCAGTAGTTATTGATTGAGCCTACCTCCTCGTCATTTGTTCCTATGCTGTCCTGGGCGAAGCTCTGCACGGTGTGTAACAGGCTGAGGAGTCGCAGCAGGGTGTCGCAGTTACAGGGAGGGAGCAGGTAGAGGAGGTGCTGCAGGTACTGAAGCTGGTCTGCTCCCCTCAGCACTGCAGGAAGGAGGCACAGAGAGGACGGTTAGTACCGGTGTGACTGCTGTTAACTGCTGTGTGTGTGTGTGTGTGTGTGTGTGTGTGTGTGTGTGTGCGTACAGTTGGCGTGCAGGAAGGCGGGGTAGAGCTCTCTGGGCAGCAGAGGATCAGGCATGTCTCTGAGAAACTCTTTGAGCAGCGCCGCCACATCATGGACGCTGTGCTCTTCATCCAGCTGGACGTCCACCCCCATGTCAAAGTCCTCCCTCAGCTGAGGAACAGACACACACACACACACACACACACACACGAACAACCAGGGGTCACTTTACCCTGATGGACACAATTTCTCCAAAACAGGATATCACACTTATTATCAACTTTTCACATGAAGATTATTTTTAGATTCCAGCGTACAGTGAAGACTGACAAGAATATCATTTTTCATACCCTTCCTGTCCGTAGTGAAAACCATGTACCTCCAAATTTGGCGATTCTGAATTTCTTTGATAAACTGAAGGATTAACTGTGCCTGTATCGGTAGAGAAAATTCTCCTACTTCTTAAGATAAACTATTTAAAATCCTCTTGGAATAGCTTGATAATGCATTGTTACAAAGCTGAAAAACAGGCTATTTTTCTTATGAAAGGTTTTTTCAGAGCTACCGAGTTCTCACAGAACTGCAATCTTGTGCAATATGATGCATTGCTGTAGATCAAACTACCCAACAGAATATATAGTAGTTAAAATGAGCTCAGCCATAAACATCCACAGCAGTAAAATGCAACATACACACTTATGTTATGCAGCAGTGATACTGATCTAAAAACTTTCATATAAAATAGAAAAACTGACACCATTTTACTGCAGGATGAATAGTTTTACTTTTAATACTTTAAGTGCATTTGAGCTGAACTTCCATTTTGTTGTGATTCTGGCGGCCCCTGTGGACAAGAGCGGTAGTGTTTCTACTGCTCTGTTTCATTGATTTCAAGGGGAATCCAACTGAATCTTCTCCCCGATGGTCTTGTATGTCTATGTAGGTCATATAGAGGTTTCAGTATTAAATTGAGACTGTTTCATAACCAAGTAAAAACTCCTTGTTGTAGGTTTAAGTAAGGTTTATAAGGTTTTAATGTCCTTTCACCACCGGACAACATTTTATTCAGCTGCAGATGTGACCAGAAAATGTCCTCACCTGTCTCACTCTCTTCTTAGAGCTACCAACTCGGAAAATCCCCACAGTCTGAAGGCCTGGGGACACAAAATGGAGCACAAAGTAGTCTTATCAAGTAGAAGTTTCATTTATCTTCATTCAATCTAAACATTTTAATTAAATTACTTCTAAGTTTTCAGCTTCAAGTTAAAAGTTTGTTTGATTTGGGGACTCCAAATGGCGCCAGTGAGATAAAGCTGGTGTCTCACCTTGGTTCTCGATGTGACTGCAGCACCTCTCCAGCACCCGGGGCACCTGTCTGTAGATGGGGTTGAGGCTGAGCTTGGTCTGGGTCCTCCCGTCCGACGAGCGGCTGCCACCCGGTGACTTCTTCTGCTCCAGCTCGGCCGGGTGAGAGAGCTGCAGGGCCTCCAGCAGGCGAGACTGACTCTCTACAAGGTCGGAGATGGAGTCCACGGACAGACCGCCCTGCAGGGGGGAAGAGGAGAGACTTGATATACACTGCGAGAAAGGAATAAAAAAGCCTCGTTTCTGGGAAATGATTCTTATTTTCTGCCTAAAGAGAAAAATAATCTTGTCAGGCATGTTTTGCATTAAGAAAGTAATCTTGTTTTAAGAAACTATATCTAATTTTATCTTAATAAGATGTTACAGCTCATACTGAGCTCGATTCAACAAGATAAAACAAGATTATTTTCCTTATTTAAAGAGTAAGACCACTTGCGTGACTTCTCAATTCAAGAGAAAGTCGTCTAGTTTTTCACTGTTTTAATAAAAATGCTAAAAATAACTTGTTGTTATTGGCGTTTCAAGAAACTGTGTCTGATTCTAAGATTCTTTTCTGCTTATTTTTAATGTTAGATTAAAGGCACACATTCTTAAATTCAGCTCAATATAGTGACCAAAATACTAATTTTAAGAAAGTCTCTTATATAACTGAGTTTTCATATTGTAATAAGCCCAACTTGCTATAATTGTGGACCATCACAGTCTTTCACTGGCTTGATTTCGATGCTAGCATTTAGCCAAGTAAAACTGTATTACCCTATTGGCAGTATTTTTGCTCAATACAAGAAAATGTGATTAAATTTAAGAATATTTGGCTTGTTTTTGCAGTGTAACTAAATGTAGATTTAGAGTAGATTTCAGAAGAGAAATATTGCACTTTTCACTCCTCTAAATGTATTTGACAACTTTAGTTACTTGTCAATTGGAATTTTATATTTAAAAAAAAAAGGTAAAATACAGTTTGTTATTGATGCATCCAGCCGTTGGTTTAGTTAAATTCAAAGAGAGGAGAAAAATCTGTGTGGACTGGGGGGCAATAAATAAGTTATTCTTCCTCAAGTCAAATATCTTTCATGCATAAATGTTTGAGTATATAAACTTAAACAGTTTAAGACAACTGTGTTTGGTTAGGTTTTAAAGTGTTAATAAAGAGTTTACAAAAGGGGATGAGAAAAAGAGAAAGAGATACTAAAAGCCACTTGTGTGTGTTAGGGATAGACGTCAAGGCACAGAAGGTGACAGGGGAAAAAGAGGGAAAAGTTTAGAGAGAAGAGAAGAGACAGGGGAAAATGGAAAGAACGTCTTAAGATTGATGCCAGCAGAATAGAGGAGTCAATTTTTATCACTCATACTGACGTTGCCGTCCAATAAATATCTGAAGAGCTGAAAACGAATACCGCAGAAATATAAATCACTTGTCTACGAGCTGCAAATTGTTTCTGGAGGAACGTCAAGTGTCGGAGGAATTTCCAGCAGCACTTCAGTCCAGCAGCCGAACGGCACTGGAGTTCAGAAATCAAAGGATATTTATTCCATCGGAACGGTGGTGTGTAAAAAATGTATATGCTACAAGTTTTGTGTCTTTTAAAGCTTTTAAAACAGAGTATTTAAAGGAAAACTGACTGAGGGTGAGAGTTTTTTATTTAAAGTCAGCTCTGAGGAATTTTCCATTTACGTTAATTTCTTACATGTTTGTGCAACTTTGTGGGACAATCTCATGTCTGCCAACCTCGCACTCAACAAGTTTGTCACTTTTCCAGACAGAATGCAAAACAAAACCTGCTTTAAATGAGCGTGTAGTGAGGACACAGCCGTTCATCAATCTCTTTCCTAGTCCAAGTAAATGAGTTCAGGCCTCACACTCGCAGCAACTTCTTCCTCCAAACGTTCTTCTCTTCTACTATTCATCTTGTTCCAGCCATTAATTTCAACCTTTACTCCTACTGCGTACGCTATCTGTCACTGCACGGGACACGACGCAGTGACAACGCCACCACAGCACCGCAGCCTCATCTGTCAAACTGAAGATCTCCAGCCGACTGTGTGTGTGAGTGTGTGTGTGTGTGTGTCGTCAGATATGTAAACAGTGAGCTGCTACAGGCCAGACAGCAGTAAGAGGGTGAGTCAGCGTCCCATTTAGGTTGAGACGGATGGGAAAACTTTTTTTTATAACTGTTTTTACTGACCAACCACTTCTGTTCTACCTCTACGGTTAGGTTCGTTTTCATTAGTCGTTTTTTGGGTACTTGTATTGTATTTTTAAACCAGTAATTTTACTTGTACTTAAATGTAGTAGTGCTGTCTCTATATAAACAAACAAGGTTAACGGTCAAAAGATATTTCTATATAGTTATTCTTTATGTCTGCCACCGGGTCGGATTTCCCTTGAAACCAATGAAACAAAGTGATGGAAACACTACTGCTTTTTTCCACAGGTGGCGCCAGAATCAACACAAAATCAAAGTTCCTCGTAGCTGCTTTAAGTACACATGAAAATGTCCCTTTAAAATGTGTGGGAATGGAACAAAAGAAATGAGCCAAATGAGCGGCTGCATTAGAGAAGAAGCAGCTGGTGTGTCAGCGGCGGAGCTCCAGAGAGGGGATGACTCGGAAAACACACATGGTGAGTTCACTGTCAGGGGTGGCGAGTAGCGCAGTCACAACCGGGCCAAGTCTATGCACTAAAGTTGAAGAATGATGCTATTATGGGTTATATTACTGCACCTGTAAAAAAGTGACCCAAATCAAAACACACCCAAGATGTTGTGTGACCGACAAGTGCATGCTGGGTGTGACTAACATGCAAAATGCTTGCGGCAGATCCTCCAGGTCTGTATTTGCGACATTGCTTATGATGAAAATAAACACCGTCAGTCACCGGCCAGGTGGCTGGTGAGTAATTTAATCCAATTGCTGTGTTTTTTTTATGTGACCCTCGCTGTCCACCACACCAATCTTGACTTCAGCGAATCAAATCAAAGTAGCTTAGTGCTATTCGGTGCTTTCTGCACAATGTCGGTGTTGTTTTTTGCCGTAAGAAACATCTGCTTTATTAGAAATGTGGCGACACATTCCCGGTGTTAGACAAAAGTCACAGACATCAGCGTTCTGGCTGGAAAATGTGATCAGTTTCCCCGACTTTGGTGGATTTTGGAGTCATTCAGTGGTTTGAAAACCTTCAGGAGCTCAGTGGGACAGAGAGGCTGAGTGGACTGGTTATACTGCGACAGAGAGACAGAATATCTTTGAAGTTTTGTTCTATAAAACAAGCAGTTAGATGAAAAATTATTGTTATTTTGATTTATATTGAATTAATCATTAAGGAAGAAAATCATTGTTTGCTGCCTGCCAATACACTGACATTATTATTTCTGTCTGTCTCGTGTTTACGTCAGAGACCGATTCTTACGAGCTGCACTTGATAGCTGGTTCAGATGACTGTCTGTGGCTGTGATCATACTCATTACAGGCTCAACATAACAACTGTTTCCTGATCAGTGTGGAGACGATTACAGGGTGTGATGGCCTCAAGCAGAGAGGGTTCACACACAGAAAAGCAAACACACACACACAGCATTTTTCGTTCAAACAAATAGAAGAATTCGTTGTGAAAATGTTTACAGCTGGAGATGCAGTCAGAGATTAGTGAGCTGCACTGTGGAGGCCTTCATTACAGGACACACACACACACACACACACACACACACACACATTTCCAGTTTTCACTTTACAGATCAGAATTTTGTTCCCTCAAACTGATTCAAATCTCTCTTTAAAAACACACACATGGAAGCACACAAAACAAATAACTTCCACTTTCCACTTACATCTGGAATTTGATAGAAACAAGGAAGAAATTCAAGATTGCACTTTGTTGCATTTGGAGCGAGAAAAAAGTTCAAAATTCACCGATCCTTCAGTCACAGTATCAACATTTACCAATGGTGGTTAAGATATCTGTGGGAGTGTGTGTTAATATATAAAGTATAAAGTATTTGCGTGTTGTCATGAAAAAGAAAAGTAGATTCAACTTTTTTCATGACATGTATTTTCTTTTTTTTTATTCTTTTAGTTTTTAATGGTTTTATTCAAGTTTGTCAGTTACTAGCTCCCTTTTTCTTATAGACAACAAAAATGTGTTTTTTAAAAAAACATGTTAAATTTAAGACTTTTTAAGACCATTATGAACACAATTGAAGATCTGTTTTACGTCCATGTGTCCAAAAAATATGAAGGTAATGAAGGGACATTAGTATTGGTTTCATGTCAATTTTTAAGTTTTACTTAACATTTTTGTTCTTTTTCAACCGCTAGTAATTTTCCTATTTTGATTTAAAGTTGAATTATACTTTTATGGGGGGGACTAAATTAATAATTAAAAAAATGCACAATGGCAGGATAAATAGAGATCTTATGTATTAATTATTTGCTTGTTTGTCTAATTGACTTCCCAGATTTACTGACTTACAACTGACAATACATTTACATTCTTCTTTATGGGCTGAGAAAGTTTAGGAAAATCTTATCATTTATAAAAGTAAAAATGGTTCCTCGAGATAAAAAGAAAGTTTGTCTCACCCTCCTCTGTCCTCGGCCGGTGTTATCCAGAAACGTAGGCGACAGCGGTTTGTTCTGCACATCAAAAATGGGCGCCGGTGCCACCGAGTTTGCGGACGGCGAGCAGGGACCTCCGCCCGTGATTGAAGAGGAGCAGACCAGCGGCTTGTTCCCGTTGAAGAACTGCCTTTTCTCGGCCCGGAAGCGCAGGACGCTAGCCTCCAGGTCCAGACAGTCTCGCCTGCTCTCCTTCAGGGCGTCCTGCCGCAGCTTGTAGGCCCGGTCATTGGCGATGACCTGGGAGAGCGGGATGCCGAACGCCATGGGGTTCGATTCTGAGGGAGGAGAGGATGGGACAGGAGAAGTTATCTCATCTTTTCTTCAGGTTTCAGATTTTGAGACAAACAAAAACAAATTATCTACGAATTATCATTCAACTCTGCAGTTCCCCATGGAGACTTTTAGCCTCTATCAGCTCATTGTTTTGGTTTTGCAGCCCACACATTTACTGTTTTGTTCTGCATTATATCTCTACTTTGATTGACCTACATTTCCAGCTGACACAGGCAGCTATTTTAAGCAAAAACAAAGCTCCGATTAAGCCACTATACACTGCATGCCAATAGACCAAGTTAGCATCTAGGTAGTGAACATAGTAGAGCATTTAGCAGCTACAGAGATATTTTAGAGACACAAACAGAGGTAAAAGAAGAGTGAATATTGGACTTATTGGACAGTAATGATGTTCCTTTGCATCTGCTAGATGTATAAACTGGCAGCTATTTGCTAACACTCAAAAAAGTGCTACTATGTAAACGTTGTGTTTTCAATATGCGCCACATTGACCAAAACAAATTCAGTTCATACAGCTTTAATAGGATTTATTGCCACAACCTCTCCTCCTACTAAACCTGTGTCTCAACCAGCAAAGTAGTGGAGGATTTCTGAGCTACAGCAGCTCTCACACAGAGTAATTAGATATGGAGTTCAGATGAGAACATCAGCTGGATCACAATGTTCACCAAGGTCATGATAATAAACACGATGCTTTACCTCAACCTGAGGAACAACATGATAAAAAGAAAAAGAAAACAAGGAAAAGTGTGTGGTCAAGAAAAAGTGAAAGCTGCAAGATCCATCTCCTGACACCGGCTGGGAGCCAGTTCCAGTCTGGAAAGCTACACATCAGCTATGTACTGGAAAAAAGACAACACCAAAATATCAAGAGATGTGTTTCTAACGACAGTGCTGTGATATAGAAACAGTGTGTTGTTTGATGCCCTTCACAACAATACCAGTACAGTGGCTTTCTAGTGTAAACTCTGCACAAATATGGCCTTCATGCTAGAAAAATGTGCACAGCATCACCCTGAGACTCATTATTACAAACTGTTGCCTGATATGGCTGAGAGACTCTAAATCCCTCAAAGAATGATTTATACTCGGGCGAAAAAGAAAATCCACTTATTTGGTGTTGCAAAAACTGTGTGGGATGCTTTTTTTTCAGACTCACATTGTCCCCAAATCCTGTATCTTTTTTGGTGAATCATGAGGCTGCAACATTGAAAAACATGAAAAAAGAAAATGGAAGAAACAGATGGGAAAGATGTCAGTATTAGCATTTTTTAAATATTGCTTAAATGTTTCTGGTGTCAGTTGTTTCAGGGACGAAATGAAGTCGACATGAAAAACTCCCACGCTGCCTTGCTTACAGCTGGTGAACTTTATATTTATTTCATGCAATCTGAGGTGTCTGTTTTAATGTCATTAGCCTACTTCATCATGTTGCAGTGCTGCAGGTTGCTCTTTAGTCTCTTGTCCGATGTCATAATGTTTCTGCCAATCATAAAGGATGTTCTAACCTGATACTGGCCAAAATCACTGAACTGGATATCGGTCCATTAGCCTAAACTATTAAGAGCTTAACTACCTTTGGCTTTTGTATTTATTTCTTCAAGGGAGTAGAATATTTGTTTCACAGTTTAAGCATGATGTTTAGCAAAGTGCATCCATACATACTGTATGTATTATTAATGGCTAGTTGTTCTAGGGAGAAATATGTATTGGCAGATACTCAAGGTTGCAGCATCTGTATCACACATGAAAAAGTGGTATCGAGCCATCCCTACTGATCGTGTCATGTTCTGTTTTGTTGCATGCATGTAGGTATAAAGTACATTTTTTTAAAAAAAATTGTCGAAATGATTAAACTTTAAAGTTAAAATAATCTGTTTAAATGAAACTGAATTTGAATGAAACTGAAGTTACGGGCGTGTTTTAACACTAGCAGCAGGTGACGACGTGTGTGAGAAGTCACGGTTTGCTCGAAAACAACAATCGCGGCTGCTAAAAAAGGTTAGTTTAGATGCTGCTAGCATTAGTTATACCAGAACTGGAGAGTATTTCTTCATTGAAAGAAGAGCAAAGAACATCACTGGAGGGTTTTCTCAATGGAAAAGATGTTCTTTTCTGACTGGCTTCGGTACGAGTTATATGGTTTGTTTAGTTGAAGACGCTGATAGACAGGCTGTTCATCCAACAATGACTTCCAAGATGGTTCTCTCAAACAAACCATCTGGCGCACAAGAAATTGCCTTGAGAGAACTTGTGTTCAACTAACAAAGGGAAGAAGTGGGGAGACAGATTGAGAGCATAATACAGAAAGAGACTAGGAGAATGAAGGACAGCTGTGTTTAGAGAAGTTAGCAGATAATGACTGGGAAAAGCTTATAAGAGATTTAAGACTGATGTCATGGTTATATGTCATGATGAAATGTATGTGCAACCTTTTCAACTTTTTAACGCAGTGATCGCACAGCCCCTTACAGGAGAGATTAGAAGTTCAAGTAGATGAGCGGTATAAGAATAGACAGAATGGATGTAGAGAGCAGGCAAGAGAGGGATAAACAGGTAATCATGTTAGAGCAGCCACAGCCACAAACCAGACATCACACTCAGACTGATACAGGCTTATTGCAGCGCCGGCCTTACAGGCTACAGGTAAACGCAACCTGAGTGAGGTCACTGTCATGGCAGGAGTTTCATGGTCAGCAGCTCGGCTAAAACTGCAAATCCTTCGCTGTGCAACTTCACATGACCACAACAGTTGGCACAACAAGATCCAGCTCTAGAGGTGAAATAAGAGCATTAAGAACAATAAAAACAATGGCTTGGTTTAAAGAGTGTGACAGTCTGAGAGTTGATTGGAGTTTTTATTTTTGCAAAAGAAAACAACACATCGTCTGCAAAAGTTTGTGAATTATTAAAACTATGAGATGGCAAAATGTGGATTTAAATTGATTAAGTAGGTCAGATAATACCCTTTGCCAAACAACCCTGATGTCAGACAGAACCTCACTGAATCCTGCTGTCCGTTGTTGCAATTTGATATTTAGAAATAAAGAACTGCACAAATCTCCATCTCAATTATAAAAGTATGGCTTTGTCTATTTACCAATGACTAAAAATTATTTTCTTAAAAAACAAGTTTAGAAAAATCTACCAGAGAGCTTGTTCCCAGAATAAATAACCTGTTTCAAGATAAAATGAGGCAGATTGATTGACTGAACTAATATCAAGAAAAATGAAGAAGAAAAACAAGTTTGGAATCTAGTTATAATTATCTCAGAGCACTTGCATAGTTTAATACCTTAAAAGACTTTGTGTCTTTATAGAAAAAATATTTTGCCTGTTGCCTTCAGGACATAAAAAAAGATCAGGGAGGATGTTTGCCAGTTCGCACTCCCCGAGCGGCCAGTTGAAGGACGTGCCATCCAACGACTGATACATTCCGCCAACCTTGGGTGTAAAGTGACTGCTCCACTGTACCGCACCTAAAATACACACTGATGTTACAGAAGGCTAGTGAGGCATTAGAGCTCACTCTGCATGTGTCATTCACGTGCACAAAACAGAAAAAACAGCTATACTTACACGCTCACATTCACAGAGTCGTGATAAGGATTGTTTGAATAAAGACACATGGACAGCTAACATACACACACGTGCACAGTCACACCCGGTGAGAAATTTCCCAAACAGGTCAGACAGCCATGGCAGACTGGCAGGATGCCACGTAAAGTCTTAAAAGGTATGGGATTGCCTCAGCTTGAAATAACTCTCAGGTTGTGTGAGGAGTTTATTCAACGCTTACACAGCAACATGAACGTATCATTCATAGGTCAGCGGAGAAATACAGGAAAGATTGAGCTTAGAGCTAACTTGTATCTGAGATGCAATTTCTTGTTTTCCAAAAGGCAAATTCAGTAGTCGCCAAAACCTTCATCTAAGTTTTTGGTTTCTCTACAACCCCTTTTTTAAGGTTTCTGCTGCTTGTTTTGAGGCTGAGGCTGCCCTCCTCCACGTGTGCCTACTTCAGGCGCCAGGCTCACAGATAAGCTCCTTGACAGGTGCCTTGTTGGCCAAGCGCCAGTTAGCATTAACTTGTAGCCACTGGCACAAGCCAACAGTCACTGGCTTGCTAAAAAAGGCTGCAAACTAAGTTTTAACTGGCTGTTGGTAATGGTAGATATCATGAGACAGAAAGGTTTATAAGCAGCTTGCTAGCCCTTAACCACTTCCTTTGAGCACAGATCTTTCTCTCGTTTTTCTCATGCACATTGTCGGTACTGAATTTAATCCCTAATTTCCTTGGTCAAAACACAGTTAGGTTCTCAAGATCTGAAAATGGCCTCTGGAAAAGTTCCTGCAGAGTCAAAATGCCAATCTGGATGATATTTGTTGTATTAGGACAAACATTTGTTTTGTGTTGTAATTGTTTCAGTATGTGGTTTCAGATGAAAACATGTTTGCTTTTTCGCTCTTCAGGAACTTGCCATTGGATGACTCAACAGCAGTAATTACCACATTTACGTCTTATCAACATCAGTGGCCGTTTGCCATTTTTCCACCATATTTTGAGTGCAGATATTTAATAACAGTAATCCAACTTCCTTTGCCGCTTATTGAGGGAGAAATCATGATGGACACTTTGGCATTACACCCTGTGTAATCTGGTACGTTTCAAACAAACACAACGTCCCCTGCCAACAAGAACTTGCCCCATCCATTGAGATGTCATCTGTTAATGTGTCTTGTTCACTGCACTTAATGGCCCTGTTGGATCAGTAAGCCTGTGCTTATTCCTCAGTCCTGACGTCTGTTGCCAGGAACAGCCAAGCTGACCACTCCATGCCGCTGCCTCCTGACATTTGGCCACGTTTTCTGGCATCGAATGCCAACTATGACAGTGCTAGCTGCTTGTACTTGAGGTGTGCTTATTTAAAGTAAATAGTTGATGATTTAATAACAATTTCACAGTTGGCTGTGGCAGCTTGGAAGTCTTGGATAATACTTCTCAGAGCCAGGCAGCCTAGCTAACGGAGGTCTGAAGTGATAACACATATATTATATGTACACATAAATATAGGCCTAATATAATCTTTTCTATTTTACTTTAATATGATTCTTTTTTGTTCAGTAAAATATTCATGCAAATGCAATTAAAACCATTAACCAAGGAAAGAACTGTTGTTTTTGGCCAAATATTTTTAAATAAAAGGGGATTTAGTAGGCTATTTCTCTACCAGTGTTACATTTCTGTCAGTAAGAATAAATCTTTGTGTTTAAACATTGATGTAAATAAAGAGTTTGCTTGAAATATATTTTGAGGAAGATAAGGAGGTGGAATATCTCTTATTTTTTATCCCTTTTTACTTTTTTGCATTTAAATACTTCTTTATTCTGTTTCTCATGTTATTTAGATATCACCTGTCTATGATTTCCTCATGACTCCAATGCCACATGCACAATTGTAAGGACTATATGAACATTAGCACTCATTGTACAAATGTACAAGAGAAACATATCGGCTCAATAAAAGATATATGTTAGAAATAGAAATGTTTCAGTTGACAGTGAAATTAAAATGTAAAAACTTTTTCAGCTCTTTAGAGGCTAACTCCAAGTCAAATATTTGTTTGAGGTTTAAGGCACCTTGAAACTGGCAAAAATGTAAGCTTTACATTTGTTTTTACACTCCATTTGAATTATTTACATAAGACTGTTATTATTAATGTATTTTGTCCTATAGGTTTTAGGTTGTGCAGCACAGAGGGGAATATGGACTCAGGACTTCTTTATTTCTGAAAAATGAAGTGGAGATCTCACTCGTGCCAACAGACATTCCTTAATATTTACCAAGAGTCGTATTTAATTTTTGACAGCCCTGTTTAGCTCACCACATTTAGCATTTCACTGATGAAACCACTTTGGACACGTCCTGAGTTAACGGTAAAACAAACACTATAAAACTCAGACAGGAAGACCGCTGTGTGTGTCGGACTCGTAAAGCCTTATTGTTCAAGAATTCCACTATTTTTCTTTCTTTAGTCCTCAGGTCATCGTCTGTTACTGGAAGACTAAAGAAGATATATTTAGATGCTGTTCAGCACTCATTACTATTTCTCTTTCACCACACCAGCAGCTGGATGATAATATTAGTCCCTCAAGGATCTGTATTTATGTAACACAGGATGTCCTCTATGTAAACCCGACTGAAACAACACAGAAACAAACTATAGGAAGCTCTGTAACTTCAATTTAACCTTTTCCTGAAAGTAATGTCTGGAAAGAGCAGCATGAAGGCCAAAGGAGAAAGAGAAATGCACAAATATTGGAGGAAGAGCAACTGGGAAAAACACTACCAGTTGGATGGTCTAATGGCGTCTGAGAGCCCCTTTAATGGCCAGTTTATGCAGACGTACACAAAGACATACACTAGTTTGATTCAAGCGTGCCTTTAAGCCTTAACACCAGGCAGTCCAAATAAACAGTTGGCACTCGTTCGATCGGCATACACCAACGCTGAGCTCGGCGTCCAAGCTGCGACACCGCCTTCAGCTATTCAGCTCCCTCATCTTCCTCAGCCATCACCTGTTATGGGGTGCCGCAGGAATGAGTCCTAAAACCTGGAAATGAGTTAGCATTTTAGCACTTTCGGTTCCCTCGACTCGAAGTCAGTGGGTTTCTTTAATCAGGTTTTGGTTGAAACAAGGAGGAACATTAAGAGATCACATCTTGTAAGTAAATACCTTAACCTGTGGAGTTTGAAGCTTTTACATGTCTAACCTCAACCTCTTGCAAACTATTCTAACTCAAAGTTTCCACCAGTTGCATCACAGTCAACCTTTAAGTGGGCAGAAAGTTGGCTGTGATGCAACAGAGGAGCAAGCGGGAGATCTGCTGCGCACGATTACTAGACGACCCGCTCTACCGCCTGAGCGTTGAGTGAGTATAAAGTGGCAGAAAATGAACCTCAAAAATTTATATTCAATTGCACTACTTCAGTAAATGTGCTACTATCTTCCTACGTGGTCCAACAACCAATTCCAAACTAGATTAGGCTCAGTGCTGCAGGAAAGTTTGTCTGTTAACCACTGGTATGAATTTTTGATGTTTCTTACAGGACTTAAAGGGCAGCCATAATCTTATTTACACAGTTAAACTTCAACAGTAACACTTTTATATCCAATTAGAAACTGTAATTGGAATATAAATACAAAACAGGTCTTCCTAAAGCATAAAAAAATGGCAAATTACATAAAAACTGTCTTACTCATTACCATTTTTCTCACAGTAACTCCCCATAAATTACAGTTACCACTTTCCTGTTGCATGTAACCCACTACCTGCCGGACCCTGAAGGCCACACCGTCATGCCGATCAGTAGTAGAGGAGCAGAGCCAGCAGGAGCGCTGCCAGGTCCCAATGTTCTGTGTTTTGATTAGCAGGGATAGCTTCAGCTAAATCCCAAGAGGCTGGAGGCAGGATTTAAAGACCTGCGGAGACAGCCTGGGAATGTGTGTGTGTGTGTGTGTGTGTGTGTGTGTGTGTGTGTGTGTGTGTGTGTGTGTGTTGTGTGTGTTTGTGTGTTTTGGCTCACATCTTGCAGTGCTGTGATAATCACCTGAGAATAGAGAACATCTCTTTATGAGAGGTTGGGGTCACACTGGCAGATGAGCGGCTACATGGCTTAGAGGAAGAAGAGGAGGGAGGTAAAGAAAGCAGCGGAGAGAGTCGAGGAAAGAGGGGAAATGAAAACGAGGGGAGTCGGACAAATGAAGAAACAGCTGCGTTTACATGTTCACAACAAGGCAACTATGACCAATACTATAATAAATAGAGTTCATTTTGGGGCTTTAACAACTTTTCAAGCAGACTCCGGCTTGAACCAAGTAGTGAAAACTGAAGCTGACACTAGTTTCTGTGTAAATTAGCTTCATGTGTTTATGAAACCGGAATCGGATCATTTTCTTCCCATAAAGAGGGGTTGGCACGTTGTGGTTCAGTTTGGTCAGAGGCTGAGACTGAATTGCTTTTATCTTAGCGGGTGGATGACAACATCTGAAAGAAATCTGAGCTAGAGACAGTGGTGGAATGATGCACTGTTAGTAATTAAAAGTGCTGCAAGGCATTTAGCTGGTTATGAAACAGTCTCAATTAAATACTGATGCCTCTGTATGAGCTACATTAGCACACAAGACCATCAACATGAAGATTGGTTATTTCTCTTGAGTTATTCTTAATGCTTGCCACCGAATCAAATAAAAAATGCTTTAAGTACAAATTTACATCCAGTTACAACATTTGTGTTACTGCTGGAAATACAGAGTCCTCATACCTTTCTTGGCCGTCCATACATGAGTGTATTTGTCAACACACAACATGAGCAATTAATAGGAATGTAAAGATATATCGCAGTTAATCAGTTGTCGTATTAAGGTGCAAAGATTCCATTCACAAAATGAAATATTCATTGTTTTGCACTGTTTATACCTCAGAAATAAAAAGAATGAATCTATAAATCTACAGCAACACAAGATGCACCGGAGCAAATGTAGAGAAATCATCTGGTAAGAGGGAGGCAGAAATATATTCTGATTTAATCGTAAAAATCTCATATACCAATATTTGCCTGGAAAAGCCCACAATTTAAGATTACTGATCTTAACTGATTATTGTGGCACATTAAAGCACTGAATAGAAATATCTAAAAGGTGGCATTAGAAAGCAATAAATTGTTAACTTTAACTTACTATAACTTAAACTAAAATGTGGCTATAACAGATTATTCAAATAATTTCTGTTTAACTTTTAAATGTGTGTGTTCTGTTTAAAAACAAAAAAAACTGGGGTGGCCACCCCTTTAGATCCGCCCCTGAAGATGCAGATCTGTACAAGTGTTGGGAAACTTCATCCAAAGTAAAACCCTCAGATAAATATCTGTATTTAAAATGTTTTGTATGAGGAGAAACTATAACGTCATACAAAACAAATATACATCAATATTAAAAAAAGTTTTTTTTCTTTGGTCTTGGGGCCACAAGGCATATTACTTGGTAGGTAATCTAACTTCTCTGGAAAAACAGAGTCAAACGAGATCATAACTAATCTCACCTAAGATGCCATCTCTTGCAAATAAGGAGATAATCAAATTTCAAAGCAGTCTGAGGTAACAGGTTTCAAAAGACTATGAGCAACCACATAATTAAATCACTTTGATCAATGAAAAATTGAATAAAATCTGACTTTAAGCTGGTTACTTCCAGTAATCAGAGCATCGTTGTGCACGTCCAGGAAACACACTCTTCTGACGGAGTCGGGTTCTGCAATCGCAGGGTGACACAGACGCTTGAAGAGCTCGCCGAGGGCGTTTGTGAGTTCATTCATTATCAAGTTTATGTTACAACAACGCAAGAAAGACACAGAAACAATGAACCACGAGCTTGAGTCACTGAAAGCTCCCATGAGTCAGTCTGCAGCCCTGAGCCACTTGTGCTTTATAAACACAGTATTTCAAGTATGTAAGACCATTAGTGGTAAAAGCCACTGGTCTCCAGTGGCGGTGAGGCTGGTTTTAATGGACAGAGGGGACATTGTGTTTGATAATATTTACTGTAACAAACACTGCAGAGTCTGTGGGTCACCCAGGGACTTCACGGAAGAAACACATTCACGTGGGAATAAAGATTATCAAAAGGAGACAAACTGCGGCCAGAGATGGTTTTATGTTTAAACGGCACATGACTGTGTTTGTGTGATTAACTTACCTCGCTCTTTCTTTTCCTTTGAGAAGGAGTCAAACTTCCTGCGTAGAGATTTTCTCCGTTTGTGTATTGCTGTGTAAAAAAAGACAAAGTCACGGTAAATAAAATTCTTGTCTTGTGAACAATAGACACATTCACCTCCCTAAATTAACTTAATGAGCTCAATTATCTCTTCTTTCTCTCAAATACACACATTGCCAGTTCAAACCGGCCTCATTACGACCTTTTTCCTCCCTTTTTCTTCTCTCTTTCGCTTATTATCTTTCTCTCCTGAGTGCTCGTACCCCTAAGAATAGAGCGGACCATTTCAATAGACGAGACCTTGGTGTTTGTTTGTATGAACAGCCCATTGCTTAATGGCTGCACTGCCCGAGACATGACAGACAAAGGAAAATAGTGTGTTATTGTTTGTGTGTGCGTGTGTGTGTGTGTGCGTGTGTGTGTGCGTGTGTGTGTGTGAAAATCTAGAGAGGTAAATGAATAGCACAAAACACAAAACTATGTTTATCTGCATGATACAAACGTAAAAACGTATATCAAACAAGTTAAAAAAAATAACTTTTGCCGGGACGATAGGAAGGAGTCCATTAAGCTAAGTCCCAGATAAGCTATGTGACACACTCGTCTACGTACAGGAAATAGGAAAGTTGACCGTCTAGATCAACTGTTATTGGAGGAGAGAGAAAAAATGGGCGGGACTTATGTATAAATTGTCATCTCCATACCATGAGATGTGGTTAAAAACTCCAGTTAGTGGAAATTCAGTGACTTTTTGTTTTGTTTTGTAAAACTAAACAGAAGACAGCGAGATGGTTGATTGACAGCTCAGCCAACCAGTAACAGAAGACACAATTAAGGTAAACTTGCTCTACAAACCTTAGCTTATAAGCTAAAAGGCGGTGGTGTTGAAGAATAAAGGGCAGGACATTTAGCACAGAAACTAACCACATATAGGACGGTGACTTAATGCTTTATGCAATTAAGTTTAAAATCAAATTATTTGATTGGTTACATGGAAAAATATCCATTTATCTGTTGATGTAGATAAGGAAAAAAGCTGCACAGGGTGCTGTCATGAAACAAAAAGTAAAATATTACATATAATATGTTTGATATGCTGCAAAAATACAATTTAAGTTCATTTTGAATGTTAGAAAACCACCATGATTGACATTTTGTGCTTTCCTGCATCCCTTCTGTTTGGTGTTTTTCAAAATTTCAGCAGATTATAACCCAAAAAAAATTATTTTAGAGCAGCAACAGTGAACCTTGACTGCAGAAAATATGCCTACAGTAGATGCTAGTGGTGTGTGTATGAGGGGGAGAAGTTCTGTGTGTGTGTCAGTTTTTATGGTGTGAGTTTTGCTTCGCGTCGGGTCCTCTCTGTTTTACGAGCTCTTACATCCTCCCTCCCTGACCGGGCGTATGAAGAAGAAGCCATTGTTTGGGTTACCAAAGCTGTTGTTTAGAAATCACTAATTCAAGGTTGGGTCTTTTCCCTATTAAGGAACGATCGGAGTTCCCTGCATCGCAAATTGTGCTATCCAGAATATTCCGGAGCGTAAAGATGGAAACTCTTTGCTCATTTCCACCTTAAACACCAGTTAGTAAAGGAAAGAGCTGAGAGTGACTTTGTCCATGTGAATGTGTGCATGTCGGGATAAAAGGGTCAAATTCCCATGACTGCAGGAAATTAAAGTTTATTTCTAAAGTGCACGGCCCCTCCCATCACGCACACGCCACCTCCAGCTAAGTCTAATCTCTTAGCGACTCCCACTGAATGCCTGTGTCGTGTGTGTGTGTGTGTGTGTGCGCCTGTATGCAGTCAGTGTATAATTACATAATGCACATCCACAGAGAGCTAAGGCAAATACAGAGAGGGAAAACAGCCCAGAGATTTTCCAGAAGTTTTGCATCATAATTTGTTGTTGGCAGTAAGTTTTGCTAAAATGCATCATTTCAGTTAAATTATTACAAATTGTACAAAATTGCAACTCCAACAATTTAATTCTATTCGAACACAGATGCATCAACCAATTCCTCAAGCGTCGGTGGGAAGGGGCAGATGGATTGCTTCTTTAAAGATTTAAAGAAAAGAAGCGAGGAGGAGGACTAAGAAAGAGTTAAAGAAGGTGTATGTATGGATGCTTGTTGTTCCCTCTGTGTTCTGCAAACAAAACCAGAATCAGAAAACTTTTATTGTCCATCACACGCACAGAAATTTCAACAAGGTACAAACAGCACACAGAGTGTTCGATTTTAAATCTAAGTTATGCAAGAAGTGCAAACATGGGCAGATGTTAGCTATTATCTAGCAACCTAGTATGTCCTGGTCCGAGGGACTTCGTGAGAGCTGATCGCACCTGTTCTAGACAATGATTGATTCCACCAGAAGCGCGGTGGAAGCATCTCTCCACTCTCTAATATATTGCAGCGGCACACCAAGCTTCACAGAGAAGATTGCATTGGCGGGAAGTCAGACACGGAAACGGCATAGAGAATTCGATCAGTTTTCAAAATAAAATACCCCGTTCGGACTCCGGATCAGATGTCTTGCTACAGAAGTCAGTCAGAGACAGATAAGAGGAGATTTTAAGAGGAGAATCGCACCGTTTTGTGTCCTTTAAGGACAAAATACACAAGTCAACAACGTTGGGCAGGCATGGCACTCCACTTCAAAGGCGCTGTTGGTGAGATTTAACAGAGCCAAACTGACTTAAATCCACATCCAGTGGAATTTCAGGGTTACTGAGGAAGTGTGAAGGGTCAGGATTGTTTCTGTATGACTGCTTGAAGACATTTGACAGTTAAAAACTGTAATTTTTCTTGCATGATTGATGATCTGAGAAAGTTGTATGAGGGATTTTCAAGGAGAAAAAGAAGAAATAAAATAATTGCTGCAAAAACTTTATTTTTTCTTCTTTGCTGCTGAGGTTAGAAAATATCTGTGTGTGTTGGCCTCAATGTTTGAGACTGGCTTTATTTATTTATTGGAGGCTTTCAGATTGTTCTTAGGCTGTTTTAAAAAGGTACTTCTAAAAAGGTGCAAGCTGTTTTATTCATGATTCTACAATCATATTTTGTTTACCTCTGACCTTATGGCATATCTGACCTTGTCTGTCACTATTTGTCACCAAGCCAATAGTGATATATTCAAATTAATATAATTGATTTATCCAATCAACAGTCTAAAGTCCCATATTCAATTTGCAAAACTAGAAAAAAGCTGCAAATGCTCGATTTAAGAAGCTAGAACCAGAGAAAATTTGGCATTTCTGCTTGAAATTTTACTTGATTACTTAATTATTAAAACATTTAGCAATTCATTCTTTGTTGATTGACTAATTGTTTCAGCTATAGCGAGGACATTCTCAAAAAAAGAGCCTTTCCTGGTTACATCAACAGCAACATAAAAAAAAGTGGAAACCTGGCAAATTAGAGAAAAAACAAGTGAGGGGAAAGTAACAAGTGGAAAGAAGATCAGAGGAAGGAGAGTTAGTTCGGAGTCCCTGTAGAGCAGCGGTTCGGAGAAAAGGGGCATGAGAATGAACTCCCGACAACACCAAATAAGAGCAAATCTGTCTCTCAACTACTGACACGTTTCACAAAGAATTCCCTGCAGCATGCCAATGAAACTAACAAACACACACACTCAGCACAAAGGGTCATGCATGTAGGTTATATAAATGTAAATATGCATATAAAAAAAGAAGCTAGAGAGGTTTTATGGCATGGATTCCTCTTTCAGCTGGAGCAGTAGGAGGGAAATAAGGAGGCAGCTGAGTGAGAAGAGATACAGAGGAGGAAAGGGTCGAGATTGTTGTCACGGAAAAGTGTGATGAAATCGGAGGAGTGAAGAGCCATATGGAGGCAGAGAGAGAGAGAGAGAGAGAGAGAGAGAGAGGCAAAGAAAGAGCGAGAATGCAAAGAAGCAAAGAAACCCAGCGGAGTGCAGAAGAAGAAACCTCGAGGACAGACCGCGATGGACTCAATGGACTGGAGAGATTTCACCCCAGGGGAGAAAACTGAGGACAAATATTCCCACACTTACTCACAGAGCTCTTTGTGAGCGAGCGCTTTCAGACTGCATTCATTTCGAATGTTATACACAAGTAAAACAAACATCTCTGGGTCCTGTAAAGAGTCACCTTTACTTTTATTGTTCCAATTTTATCTTCTATGAACCAAACTTTATAGCCTACTTATCTAGTCTGAGATCTGTATTTGATTCATTGTTGGCAAATGCATCAAATGTGTCACTTTATAGACTACAAATAACCAGGTAAATTGTTCTAATGTGGCCAATAACAGGTCTCAGTAGCAGTAACATACTGTTTAGCCGTTATATTTCAGCTCTGTTGTTGGTGGCCGGTAGCAGTTAAGGCTTTTTGCTCCTCCTTTGCAGCTAGTCCAAGTCAGTTTTGCTAAAAAGTGAGCTGGGAAGGATCAGATCCCACCTCTCTCGGAGTCACGAGTGCAGCAACAAGAACATGATCCATAAAAACCCTGTACCACTGCTGGAAAAAAACAGGGTGTTTGGAGGGGGACAAATAAACTATTTTGCTTTATTGCTAAGCTACTCTGTCTCACAGTGTTTTATTCATCTTTTTTATAGGGCAGATGACTGTGCCATATCACAAAAAAACATGTGTTAATGTTGGTAATGTATACTTTTAATTTGCATTTGTATAGTGCTTTTATTTTGCTTAAGTATGGTTTTAGTCTGTCTATTTTTTTACAAACAGTGTTTGATTGTAACTAAAGTTTCTCACATCTGCGACTGATCACCCAACTTCAGTGGAAAAAGGGAATGTGTGTTTTGTGGCGTTTTACAAGCTCCACATCCTTCCTCTCTGAGTTGGTTTACGTGGGTTGAAGGGACTGTTTTGGTCAGTGAAGCTGGTATTTACAAATTACTAATTCAAGGCTGTGTCTTTTTCTTATTAGGGAACACTTGGCATCTCCGTGCCAGATCGCTCTCCAGATCTGGAATGTGTGGGATATTTTAGGAAGTCTATTACCTGAATTTCAACTTGCTTGCAGGAATTTTAATCCCAGATTTTTCCCTAGCATGTTTTTTGGCATAAAGAATATCTATAATGCCTCATAAGCCAAACTCCTGAAAACATCTGAGCAGGTAGAGCAAAGCAGTGAATATAAAAGGATTTACTGATGTTTTCCCATGAATCTCTGTGCAATTAAACCCTGACCTCAAGGAAAAAAAGAGTTAACATTGATCCCTAAAGATTAGAAATTAAAAAAAAATAAATAATATATATAACTAAGGGAAAGAAAACAAAATGGAAAGACTTCCCGAAAGTGAGGAGGGCAGGGACGAGTGGAGTCTCACAGGATGTATGTTGTTCTGAGTCATACTGGAGAAACATACAAACTTGTTTCCATCACTTAAGGGTAGTTTCATCTAATTCATTCCCTTGAGAGCCTCTTAAACCAAGTCTTAACCCTAAAATTCACTTTGTGAGGGTCTGCTTTAAGTTCCCCCCAAGTTCACACAGGCTTAACATGACTCCCAACTCTTATTGTGAAGTCTGTATTATGTGACTATGGGATTGAATGAGTAAGATCTCAATGGGGAAAATGAGGATACTGAAGGATCAAAAGTAACTGAAAACAGAAGAATTTAATTATCATCAAAGAATACAAATAATAAGTTAAACAAGAACAAAACATGAACATAAAATGGAGACTATTGTGCAGTTTTATCAAGTTATCAGTTGAATTTCTTGTAGTTTTGGACTGATCTACAGTTTGAATGCATGAATAAAAACTAGTCAAACAAAAGATTATTGGACAACTTAACTTCGCATTATGGCTAAGTTAGTAAGTAAGTAGTTGCAAAAAGGGTAAAAAATTAGAAACCACTACGGTTTTAACTTCACTTTTGCACAAATTGAAACGATCAAATCATCAGGATCAATAAACATTAAAGAGAGACAAACTTCAATTAGCCATAATCAATATTTTATAATAACAAAATTAAAATGACAATGACAAAACTGAGCTTTATGTAGTGAGTTTAAGCTATTTCTTTGCTCTAAATTATTAAATATAAATATTTCATTGCCCTTTTATATTTATCTTTGTTTTGTTTTTGTTTGTTTTTCCTCTTAGTTTCATAACTGTTCACCTAACTTTTGTTCTGGATGAGTTACAGTGTATGTATGTAATTGAGCGTCGCTGAGCAGTGTGGTCAAAGTTGAGCAGGTCGGGGGTTAATAACCCCCAGAGAGAACAACAGTATGGGAGAGAGCTGTTGAGTCTGAGAAAAGCAGCTTACATACCAACGGATTTCATAGGAGAAAGGCTACCGACAGATCCTACACACACACACACACACACACACACACACACACACACACACTCACCACTTCAATCAGCTGTGTTTGTTTCTTAGCATCGGCCTCTATACTCTGATCCTACTGACCTCCGCGATCCCTCCAGCTCCAATAAACAACAAGCGAAAACCTCCCAGTCTGCAGTGTGTGAGGTGTTTGAACGATTTACAGTTTATTTGTTAAAGATATCCCGCTTTATTGGCTGGATTTACTACCTAAAGTTAGTTCAGATAGATAAGATGACTTCACATAAACAGTATCTCAAAGCAGGGAGTACCGTGGCAAGAAAAGGAATGGTTGTGCAAGTCAGCAGAGGGAAAAGCGTTGAAGTATTTCCGGCTTTTATCAAATCATATCAAAACATACATAGAGAGTCTGATAGCCAGCAGCTGTCCAGGTAGCTGCATCTCGCTCTCGCTCTCGCTCTCGTTATTTTAAGCCTCCTTCTCTCTGGTTCATCCTCTGGGGTCCACTGCAATGCATCTTTAGGAATTTGCTGTTTCCATTATGAGCAGGCTCAATCCAGGTCCTCTGGTGTCCTTGCTGAGTGATTCCGGGAAGGTTGTTGCCGGAGGTTGTATTTAGCCATAAGATGTAGAAGAAGATTTTTTTGTTGGCATGATGTATGGAGGGTTATTTACGGATGTCCTCCTCTGAGTGGTGTTGAAAATGCTTTATTCTGAGTTTGTATTTGGAGCTGTATTGGTTAGAGTTCCACATTTGTTTTAGTCTTGTGAATGAAGCTTATCGCTTTTAGTGCATGGTAATAACTGAAGGTGACTCAGACATATCAGCATATCAATATTTATCAGCTCTTCTCTTATGTGGACGATGGTGGTTGGACCGACAGGTAATCAGTAAACTTGTTTTAAAACGCTTTGGAGGCAGAGTTATCTGTATGTGCTGACTCAAAGAAGTCCCACAATCCCACAATATAAAGGCAGATTACACTGATTTGGATACGACACCTGGTCTGCAAGATAAAGGAGAGCCTGTTTTGCACAAATATGGCAGACATCCACTTATCACAATATTGCCAGGTGCTACCATGATTATATCCAACTGAAGACAGAAATCTGGGCACAACGCAAGTTATCCTGAAGTTTTTGAGCTCATTGTAAATAAAGTATGAAAGTGGTGTGCCATGTGTTTGGCTGCAATCTGGAGCCAATTAATTAATAAAACAATTGAGTCATTAAATGTGTCACGTTGGCACATTCACAGCCTTCTAGGATTCTTTAGTTTTACTTTTTGACGGCTACTACCCCAGTTGGAAAAATAAGTGACTTTGTAAGCAGGATTAGAAATGGGGATATCATCGTCCAGTGCCAGAGCAAGAAAAAGAACCAAATAGGAAAATAGCATGTTAAGTCGTGTGTCGACTTAAAGGAATAACGGAGCCTCAATTAGCATGAAGAAGGAGGTTAAGTGCGTTTCAAGTAACCGATAAAGACCGAAAAAGACTCCGGTCCTCTCAGAGAAGGGCCATCTTGTATCAGGAAAGACTTTGGAGATATAGTCCAGAGTATGTACGTACTGGAGCACACAGAGTAGGGTTTCGACACCAGGTGCGTCTTGAGACTCAGTTTAAATTTGTTCACATTGTTGTGAAAAAAAATTATTTAACTGATCGTAGGAACAACTAGAGATACAAAAAAGATCTTCAAAATGTCAGACTGATTAATTAAGTGAGATAAAATGTGATTGTGTCCAGAGCTGGGAAGTAAGAAAAGTACTTATTCTTTGTTATATCTAGTACCCAAACATGTTTTTGGCTCTAGTTTCTCCATGACATTATTTGTCCGTAGCCTTTTTTGAAACTCTCCTCTTCAGAAAAACATTGGACATTTTTCAGGTTCTTTAAAATGGTATCTGCTTATCTTCAGTAACAGAACAGGAAGTAGCTTTCTTATATGCCTTTTTCTGATATTTCCCCAAAGCTTTTTAAGGCATCTGCACACTTCTTAGGCACCATATGTTGGTTTTTATCCATCAAGCTTGCTTCACAGTTCTTTAAAACGCATCCTAAGATAAACTGCAATCAAAACCCTGTCAGTGGTATTTGAGATATCAACCGAGCCACAGGGATAAAAAAACAAATTCTGCAGCATCCTTTGACCCTTTCTTATCATAACTGTCAACTCTGATCGCTTACACATCAGTACAGAATGTTGTCTTTGACCGAAGAGAGTTGACTCGACGTCCTCCTGCTTCACGCTCATTCCTCAGATTCACTAACTGGTTGTTATGGCTCCCTCGACGGTTGGAGGGTTGCGCTCACTCAAGGACAGTTCAACCTTAATGCAGGGGGCTGATTCACTCTCACAGGGGATATCTTTTAAACTGGCACCATGTCATCATGTGCCTGCTTCCTCCATCCCTCTAGGCTGCCACTCCTCTCCACAACCAAGACGAACTATTTAAAGTGGCCACACCCATAGAGAAACGCAACACTGCATCATAATCCATTATTCCACCACAATATGGGAAGCCATTTTAGTGTTTGCATCTTTTTAAAAGACTATAAATGTTTGTTTTTGTACCTACAAATTGTGTATTATTTGAATTATTGTAGAGTTTAAAGAATGATTTAAATGCATTTCACATATGTAGCAAAAATACTAAACATGCTTGAAAGATTACAGTAAAAATGCTAAGGTGGATTTAAATATTTCTTGCACTGAGAAAGGTTGTTGTTTGGGAAAACATTCCTAAGGAAATATGCTTACTTGCCAAATTTCTATGAGTTTGATTTAAACTAAATATGTTGAGGCCTAAAATGCCTGATTTCGCAGCAGCAAGACAGTTAAAAAGTCCAGAAATGTCGAACTTTTCCTTTAAATCTTGAATCGTACATTCAAATCAATGAAAGGAGAGAAAACTTGCTATGCTTTGAAAAAAGACGTCCTGAACTCACATAGACATAAAATCATTGGGGAAAACATGCTGAATCATTGTTCCTGTAATAGTAATTTCTGTACCTCTTGGGATGGTGATCTTAAAGTCCAGGTCCCTTTCCTCCAGGTGGTACAAGGCGACTTCCTGTAACCTGGCTCGCTCCAGCTCTGACAGGCTCTGGATGGGCACCGGCTGCAACCGCACACTCTGACCCAACATGGTCGCCCACGTCTGGTCCCCCTATAGCGAGGGGAGAGAGAGAGAGAGAGAGAGAGAGAGAGAGAGGGGTTAGTGAGTAGACGATGTAAAGATTATTAAAAGGTAGATGGAGGATCTATCACAGCACAGATGATTTTATCTATTTACAACTCGATTTCTGCGCCTTCTGACAGTTTAACCAGAAACCAAAGCCTAACAGACGTCCATTATCAACCAACCATCAAGTTCTTAAAGGAAAGAAAACCTCAATCAATTACTAACGCTGACTCACAGGTCACATACCTAAGTCCCAGCTTTTATCTTTACTCTCCAACAAGACAAACTGTAAACTACAATGTTGTAGGTCAACCAGAACCTCAGAGTTACTGTCTCACTTTTAACATCTTAAATCTTTATTGAATGTAAAGTTTAACCTCTTTGTTTTATGTATTAAAAAATGGTCAGATCACATTACTCCTTATTCTCTTTCTCAGAATCCATTTGTAATTATATTTTTAGTTCATCCATTCTTTTGCAAATACCCATTGTGGTGTATTCAATCTTTGTCTTTTTTATCCTTGAGATTTCTGTACAATGAGCACTAATTTAAGTCTCTCACAGCCACAAACTTCCTTTTTAAAAAATGGGAAATTCCACTGATTTAACACACAATAGGAAATGTGTTAATCCAGCCCATGAAATCAGCTGTGTGATTCCTGATGCATCTCTGGAGGGATGTATCCAGCGTTCAACAAAACCTTGAAGTCAAAAGTCAGGATATTAGATATTGATTGGCAATATTACAGTAAATGACTGGAATACCCCTTGTGGTGATCATGCAGTTTATTAAGTGTCAAGTTCAGTTTTAATGTTCAACCAAACCACAACTCCCTTTCCCCTCTTTGTTCAGTGTAACAAAATACTAAATATATTACGTTCTTGTATTAAAACTGCACTAGAGATCCATTCCTGACACACTGGGAACACATATATGGTAAAAATTCTTCCAAACTCAAGGTTCACATACTAGATTTTGATCATACTCCATCTGGCTCCACTGGCTGAAAAGAGGTTGTGTGATATGGTCAAAAGCTCCAGAAGGAAGCTAGAAAGTGAACCTTATCATAAGAAGAAAGCTCTATAAAAAGGACTCTTACTGTACACTCACATACTCTCATGCTCTGCTGTTTACTGCAGAGGCTCTGGGGTCTTGTGAAATCCATTTATCACAGACTACAACGCTGCCTCGCAACACACTTAAAAATAAACAGAAAATAACTATTGTTAGTCCAGTTTTCAGATATTCCCTGGTGAATAGTTGGAAGTTGTGTTAACTGAAACAGATGTTTTCTTTGGTGATTTCCATTTAAGAAACACTTCTTAAACATTTGAGTGGACACATTTATCTGAACAGCATGCTTAGATAGGCTGAGCTCCAGTTAATATTAATGTTTTCAGGCTGTCTGAAGGGTCTTAAATAGTCTTAAAAGTTCCAGTGTGTAACATTTTAGGAGGATCTACTGGCAGAGATAGAATAGAATATTCATAGGTGTGTTTTCATAAGTGTATAATCACCTGAATATCATCAAATCATTGTGTTTTTGATACCTTAGAATGAGCTGTTTATATCTACAGATGCAGCAGATCACCTTCCATGTTTCTACAGTTGTCCATGAACAAAATAAACGGACAAACCAAACACTGGCTGTTCACGTGTTTCACAGCCACCATAGTTTCTCCTTTGTGCTTGAAGGGGTTGTAATCTTCTACACCGCTAAACGTCACTAAACCAGACACATTAGTCCTTTAAAATCTGAATTTTACACCTTATATGATTTTTAATTTTATGAAGTTGCATCTTTCAGTCTCGCTTTTAAATGTGGTTTTTTTGGAAAGATTTGTATTGATCACACTGTAACAACTATTAGTATATAATCACCTGAAAACAAGAATCACTGTGTTCTCGTTACCTTAGAATGAGACTTTTTTTTTTTTTTTTAACTACAGAGGGAGAGGGTCTTCTTCCATGGAGGCCACCAATTTGAACCACCATGTTTCTACAGTAGCCAGAACGGACAAACCAAAACACTGACTGTAGGGCCATATTTCGTCGCCAACATAGTGTCTGCCTTGCACTTGGAAAGGGGGCTAGATGCCACTAAATCCAACACACTGGACCTTTAACTACATTATCCTGATTATACTTGCATACTTTTACTTCAGTAACATTTTCAGTGCAGGAGAGACATAGTAAATATTGAATAACAGGATGGAGAGACTGAGGAAACAGAGAAAACTAATTGAAGAGAATACGAGCCGCAGTGAAAGACTAAAAGGAGTTTGATGGAGGGATGCAGCAGCCACAGGTTAATGAGAACCAGACAAACACACTTTAGATCTGAGGTCCGTGTTTCACGACGGGTTCACCCCATCAGAGAAAAATGTGTTTTTGATAAATGTGTGTAGTGTGTTTGTGTGATGAAAGCATGCGATAGCACACACCCAATTGAGAAACCATGAGTCTGAAGAATGTTGCACGAAAGCATGTAAATCAATCAGCTAGTAAATCTACATGACACAGTGATACACAGTGGGACTGCGCTTAATTAAGAAAGTCATATATTTGTACTTCTACATTCTTAGACAAGTGTATTTGAGAGGTAGGATTTACCAAAGCCAGATCATATTTAACATCTAAAACATGACAAGGAGCTCCATGTAGAGACTGTTTTTTCATAAGGGGGTCAAGAAGGTTGGAAATCACCGGTTTAATATTTCACAATGTGTCGTATTTTATAAGCTTATCCACCATTTTTTAACATAAATCTTAATTTGAATAGTAACTACCGCTGTCAGATACATGCAGTAGAATCAAAAGTACAATATTTCCCACAGAAAAGAGTCCTATAAGTTCCTAAATACACCAAATATGATAAAATTTGAGGAAATGTGACGCACAAATCATCACTATAAAACCAGATAAGTTCAATTTAACCTTAAAAAAACAGTTGAAACTGATTACATTAAAGTGATTTTAAGTGAAACTAACATTTTGTAAGTTAAAAAAAAGTGATTTAAGAGATTCTGTAATCTTTATGTGTACTGTGAAAACAAAATACCTAGTAAAAAAGTACTTAATCAAGAATTAACTCACCAATTTGAGTTTGTGTTACTTAAAGTTGTTGACGTAATCTGTATTTGAAACACCATTGAGTTTTTTAAAAAGACATAAAAAGACTTGGTTATGCATATTTCACTCAACTTAAACATCATGGAGAGCAGGAAGAACTAAATACTGCCAGAGAGCAGAATAAGATGGATTTCTCCAACCATGAAAGCTAATTAAAATGTGAAATTTAAAGATATTGGATGTTAAAGACTTGACAACGCTCCTTTTAGATCCACAGAAGACATGTTGTGTTTTGCTATGTTAAGTTATACTCCTCATGACTAGTAGTGATCTTAGTGTGTAAAATTGGTGGATTTTCCCTTTACATAATGTATGATTATGTTATTGAGCCTGTCAGATTGTTATTCCAAGTGTCTGAAAACATTATGGAAAGGATCCCTACAAAGACCTTTATAAAAAGAGGAAGATGACTTACGGACAAATTTTTTTCACCTTTGTCTTCCTGCAGGACTTCTGTTTCTGGTTAAACAAAAAGGATCTTTCTTTGTAGGGATCCTATCCATAATGTTGTCAGACACTTAGAATAACAATCAGAGCCTGTCAGTGGCAAAAACACTTTTAGTGGCCATACATAGATAGGCAGCAATTGACCCCAAAGATTACGTTGCAGCCAGTTTACTGGATCAGTTCCAAAAAACTTTATGTACCTATTCGTCATTTAGACCCCAAAATATGTTAAATAAATAAATCAAATAAAATTAAACAAGATAAAAATATCAGAAGGACCCTGATAAGTTTCATCATGTTAAAGTATTACACAATGCCCAACATTTTTTACAGAGTCCTGCAGGTGCTTTCTGACATTTTAACTGTTGTATATATCATGTCTGCAAAACCACTCCAGGCTTTATACTTACAGTTATGGCTCTCTGGTGCCGATATCTTTGGCACTGATCCCTGATTGAACTTTTACAGACTATAAGAACAACGTGTAGGAATTCTTGACTAAGCTGCATTTCCCCCTATATGGCATCAATACTTATAATTAAATTGCATTTATGTTCTAAAGCAGAAACCGAAAATAATAAAACACATACAGAAGGGCCATCAATTAAAACACATGAGCAGAGGCCAGTATCTAATTTTCCATTTGTAGAAGCATGTATTAATGCTATATAGTGGTGAAATAAAACATATGGGTAGAGTTACTAAGATTGATGATATTATACTCTTACATAGTCTTATTTCTTTAGTAAATAATGTATTTGTTTCCCCATTATATGATCAGTTAACTGCATAGCAGCAATCACATATGGCACATATTTAAAAGTGACAGATTTACCATAATACCAAAAAGAAAAAAAAAAAGGATATTTTTTAGATTAAAAACTTTACAGTCTTACAAGTCAAGAGGAGTGGGCAGCCATGCTAGCAGCGCTGATAGACTGTGGTTTAATGTTCACCAACTTAGTTCTGCAACTTTGCACGCTAACATTTGCTAATTAACACTAAACACAAAGTACAACTGAGGCTGTTTTGCTGGTATTTGGTAATAAACCAAATTTGACGTGATTTTGGCTCACCAACAAGATTGTGTAGCAACTTTTATGTTGTTGAGACATTTCACTCCAAGCTTCAACCTCAATATGCCGCTAGAGACATCTGGTCTCCATGAATATTGGTACCAGGTTTCTTTGCAATCCAGTCAGTCTGGACCGACAGACCCTGCTAAGAGCCCCAAAAACCCAGGAAACTGACCAAGTAATGTCTATTACACAGCAACATCCATCTAAAGCTAACATTATCCAATAGCCACCATAAGATACTGGTTGCAGCTGTTCATTTATAAGTTGAACACTGCGTTATTTCTTCTTTCAAACGTGCTTCCTTTAAGAGGAACCTTTGAAAGTAC